TGCAGAGCTTGAGGAGGAGTGGTGAGGGTGGTGGGGATGCTTGCCAAGTCTGTCACATTAACAGAATCACAGATGTCACAGCCAGATTGCCTTGAATTCCATGCCATCTTGAAAAATATGGATAGTGGTCTGAAATCACTTAAAATAGCTTACTTTGATGAAGTCATCCATTTCTGCATATTATCAATCATTTAATACATGCCAGCATCTGCTGATATTTTACATTTCAGTGATGTTACATCTGATAGCAATTTACTTAGATCTGGAGAAATGGTATGTGGCTATCCTGGCTCTTTACTGACTTAGGTATTAGAACTGGTTCTAGAATTGTTAGTTGCTGGCCTTTAGGTTTAATCTTTAGAAGCCACCAAGACTGCTAAATATTTTAAATGTTTTTAATCAACAAATGAGCTTTTCATGTGTTAGAACTTAGTATATCCTCATGGATAATTCAAATCATGACTGAATAAATGCAGAACAAGCAGGCGACTTAAGCTAAATTTTCTGAAGATAATTTTCACTGGCCAGGTTTTTCTACAGGCTCATTAGCTGCAGTTTTATGTATGTTCAAATAAAGATCAAGGTTTACTTAAATGAATTAATTTTGTTCACCATTTAACACAATCTAGAAAAAGCAATTATTCAGTACCATCTACATATTTGTGTTGAAAGAAGCTAAAATTAATCTCCATTTTGATTTATCTCTTGGGATCTAAAATTCTTGTTTTAAAGAATAGGCATTTGGATTTTATAAAGTACTTGTGGCAAAGGTAGTGTAAGAATCCAAATCTGAGATATTAAAAAAACTCACAAGGTAATGGTTATTAAATCTGTATCGAAATGTTATATATCAATTGAATTAGGCTTTGGCATGACTGGAAGATTTTTCATTATAGATTAGGGTTTCATTGAAAAATAAACTTTTGTGAAAATACGCACAAGTAAATTACTGCTAAATACTTGTAAGCATAGGCAAGAACTGAGGGTGGAATTTGGTTTGTCATTTGTTTGGATTACTTGAAAACCTTGCTTTTATAAATTATCTGTAAGAATATGTTACCATATCTGTCTTTGAGAACATACTGAGCCAGATGCTTTGAATTGGGTAGCTTTTAGCATATGTGTTAATCCTGATTTTACCAATACCTCATTCAGTGGCTACTTCAGTAACCATCTAATTAGGTAGCCCTGACTCTTACGAGAGAACAAAGTAATTACTTACTAGGCTAGCTCATAGTGTAGGAATCAGTTAGCAGTGATATTTGACTACTCCAAATTGGAAAATTCAAAGCACTATATTTCATACTTCCTGATACTGTTTATTAAAATGTTTCCAAATGAGTTTCTTAAAATATGTTTATTTTAGGGCTATGAAACTATTAAGAAATTGTCCATTTTAAAAATGTCTTTTAAAGAAGTACTTGAGCTCACCATTTTGGTCTGTGTTTTTTGTTTAAGTGTGGCAACTTTTTCTTTCCTAGAAAGACACTAGGCTTACATTCAGAAGGGCTGGTTTGAATTTTGGTGCTGCTATCAATTAGATATGTGACTTTGTGCCAGTTATCCAATCTATATTAGCCTCATTTGTTTCCTCTAACGATAGAGGTGGTAATAATTCTCAGGGTTATTATAGTGTTAAATGAGTTATATGTGAAAACTTGTTATTGTGATTTGCTCTATGAGTATAATGAAGAGGATGATATTGTGTCTAATTTAATTGATATTTCATCTATTTAAGACAATTATTATTTAGTAGCACTATCTCTAAATGCTGTCTAGCCACTGAAGGTAAGAATCATATGGAAGAATGTATCAAATGTTCTTCTGAATTCATGTTATGAGTGTCATCTTTATCTTGTTTCTATCCCTCTGAGTGCCTAAGGAAAAAAGAGATTCTACTAAGGTGGTGTCCTATTTTACCTCTCTTAAATTTTTAATGCACTGATTTTGTGTTATAGTAATTATTAATAATAGCCAACACTTAACTAGTGCTAACTATGTCCCAGGTACAACTTCCAGGACTTTCTAATATTAATCCATGTTATCCTCCTGGTAACTCTGGGTAGTGGTTGCTGTTATTATCACCAGTGTAAAGGTGGAGAAACTGAGGCACAGATAAATTAACTTGTTAAAGATTACACAGAGTTATCGGTCAAATTTAACTTTCTTATACCCTTGGGCAGGCATGGTGGCTCAGGCCTATAATTTCAGTACTTCCAGAAGCCAAGGTGGGAGGACTGCTTGAGCACAGTAGTTTGAGGCTGCAGCGAGGGCCACTACACTCCAGCCTGGCTGACAGAGAGATACCCCGTCTCTAAAAAATAATAATTATAATAAATTTTCTTAAACCCTTTCTTCAGCTTTTAGGGAAGAATTTGGCAAAGATAATATATAGGATAAAGGAAGTCATGCACATTACTTGGGTCTTGGATATAAAGGATGGCATCTTATCTTGGAAAAATGATGCTGCCTATCTGCATGTTGAGATGACAGAGATTGTTGTTTATTTTCCTTTATATTTTTATTTTTAATCTCCAATGTCTATAATTGGATAAATTATTGTTAATTTACTAGGATTACTTCTCTCTCCTGAGCCTAAGGCAAAGTAACAGTCCTAGCCATCTCAGTCCTGTGCTGTGAGTGATGTAATTGGAAGAAACAGCCCAACACCCCACCTGAAGAGATGTTCCAGAGCACATGTACTCTATCTTCTTTTCAGACTTAGAATTTGACTTGGTTATACTGCATGGAGTCTTTCTTTAATTTAGGCATGGTTCTCTTCATTTAAGCTACTCATTTGTTCATAAATTTAGCAAATTTTATTGAAGATCTCCTATGGGCCAGGGGTGCTGTGCAGTGCTGGAGAGTAGAATGGCAAATATGACAGTCACACACCCTCTGCTTGTTGAGTTTACAAAGTAGTGGAAGAAGATTGACAATAAGAAAATCATATCACAAATGGAAGTAACACAAGTCCTCTGAATAGCGCTACAAAGCAGAGGAACATGGTGCTCCAGGGATGGATAAGAGAAGGCATTTGGCAGACACTTGAGGATCATCGTTTGTTTTCCATAGTCTGTGTTTGGTCTCGTACAAGATGTCAGAGACTTAAGGAGGAATAGCAGGAGGAGGGCAAGTTAAAAAGAATGGATGGGGATAGAGTTGGCATATTGAAACATTGAGTAATACAAAGTGGCTGCAGAGAAAAGAAAAACCTCACTTGAGCTGTGTAAAACATCGAATTAGTCCTTGAACATATCACTGTATCATAGAAGAATAGTTGTGTTTGTAGTAACTACCATGTTTCAAGAAATGTTACTGCATATGCATTCTAGTCAACTCAGTAAAAGAGGGAGGGATGTAATAAATTTAGTTATTTTCATTAGTATGTTTAAAGTATTTTATTGTTTGAAAGTTTATGTGTCCATTTAATGGCAGTTTATCCAGTATTTTGGATAAATGAGATCACTGCCTTCATTTATATAAATATGTCAAAGCAATATGCATATTAGTTGCAAAAGCATCTCTGGACAGGAAGATGATAGACCTTGGTTTCTGATTCCAACTGGTGGATAAATAATAATTGAGAACAACCTAACTGTTCTCATTAGTGAAAATGGGATAATAGCATTTCCCCTGTCTACCTCAGAAGGGTTTTTCTTTACATATTTCATTCAATTAATATTTTTTGTGAACCTTATACTGAGAACAAATAGTGATGAGCAAAGGAGACATCATCTTAGATCTTATAGGACTTACATTCCATGGGAAAAACCAATATTTATTTACAATGGGTCTTAATTTTTCCATTCCTGTGACCTGCGGTACTGTTCTCTAGTGTGCTCATGGCATGCTCCCTCACTTCATTCAGTTGGGTCTCTTCTCAAATATCACCTCTTTGGAGAACCACCATCTCTAATATTCATTTCAGTCTCTCTTTATCCTTTGCTTTACTTTTCTTCCTCACCTTTATCTGTCATTATACTTGTAGTTGCCTTTAGGTCCAACACTGAAGTATAATAATCCTTTATCCAACCAGGCGTAGTGGTACACACCTGTAGTCTCAGCTACTCAGGAGGCTGAGGCACTAGAATTGCTTGAACCTGGGAGACAGAGGTTGCAGTGAGCCAGAGTCATGCCACTTCGCTCCAGTCTGGGCAACAGAGCAAGACTGTCTCAAAAACAAACAAACAAAAAGATTCCTTTATAGAGAGACTTTGTCTTTCCTGCTCATTGATATTGATATATATTATTTAAAATAGTGCATGGCACATAAGAGACTCACAATAAATATTTACTGAATGAATGAGTAAATGAGATGAGCCCACAAGCATATAATTACCAACTGTGACAAACAAATGGGGTAAGTGAATGTATTTTCAAAACTATAAGTAATCCATGTTTGCAAGGTGATGCTATTTATTTGAATTTCAGGAAAAAAAAATACAGTCTGCCAGAAGATAGCTTATTATTTTTTTGTATTTGTAGCTTTCTATTAAATTATTTATTTTCTAAGAGTTTATCTTCCTTTATATCCATGATTTGTAATACTGAACACTATCTTTATGGTTCTGTAACCCCCGCCATCCCAGTTCAATTACTGTCTGGAGTAGAGATTCTTAATCTGGGTCAGTGAACCTTTGTGAAATTCACTGTTGCCTTCTGAGGCCTCATTGTACTCCTTGAAATTGTGTGTAACGTGTGTGGCCCCTGCTCATTTTACTGGAGAGAGTTCCTATAACTGTCAGATTCTCAGACTGTATAACCTCCCAAGTTTAAGAATCATTGCATTAAAATTTTTTATTTCCCGTTTACTTTTTGTTGCTCTATTGATGGTTCTTTTCCTCCTCAAGAAGGTTTCATTTTCCATTTATATTTTATGATTGTATGTTGGTATTTTTAAATATTTACTGCTCGATTGTCCCCAGTGTGTGGTATTCTCGGTTTATTGTATGCATCTGAACCCAGACCTTCTCTCTGTCTCTCTTTTGTCTGGCCAGCAGTGTGGGGATGTGCCAACTGCCGAGTGGTTTTGTCCAACCCTTCTGGGACCTTTACTTCTCCATGCTACCCTAACGACTACCCGAACAGCCAGGCTTGCATGTGGACGCTCCGAGCCCCCACCGGTTATATCATTCAGATAACATTTAACGACTTCGACATTGAAGAAGCTCCCAATTGCATTTATGACTCATTATCCCTTGATAATGGAGAGAGCCAGACTAAATTTTGTGGAGCAACTGCCAAAGGCCTATCATTTAACTCAAGTGCGAATGAGATGCATGTGTCCTTTTCAAGTGACTTTAGCATCCAGAAGAAAGGTTTCAATGCCAGCTACATCAGAGGTATGTAAACCAAAGGCAATGCCAACCTTCTGCTTTTGTTTAACATGTTCTGCAGTAAACACAAGGACCAAAAGACAGAGTTATGCTCTTTTATGTGAATGTGAATGATTAGGATTGGGATTTAAGGGCAAGAAGCTGTTAATATTCTCTGAGCATTCTTGTTAGCAAAATATAATTACCACATCCAAAATCGGGTTACAGTAGAGTTGAATTCTTTTATGTTGTTTATATACAGAACATTTAAAGGCTGCTTGGAAGACACTGTAGATATTCCACTGCTAATAATTAAAATCTGTAATTCTAACATCTCTCCACTGAAAATTTAAAACATCCCTTTTAGAAATCATTTCATTTTGGGTTTTATGATGTTGTCCTTTTAAGAAACTATGGTACGGAACAAATACAGAAAATGAACAGTAAATTTTTAACAAGCTATTAATAGTTTAAGCTAATAAATAACACAGCTTGAGGAAAGCCCCCTGAAAATGGCTAACTGAAAGAAATAAGGCATATTTTTATTAAATATGTTTTCTATATTCTGGCACAACATAACATTTAAATAATCTTTCTCTCTAAAACCTGTGTTTCCCTAAAGAAACTCAGGCTTCGATATGATGAGACTTAGTTATACTGTTTCTTCTGTACTTTCTAAGTAAAAACAAGCAGAAAGGTACAACTATAAAAATGACTATTATGATTTAGTTATACTTCTTTTTCTTCTGAACTTTCTAAGTAAAAACAGAAAGGTACAACTATGAAAATGACTGACTCTCACTATTATAAATTTGATTGTGGAGTTATTTATTTATGTTTGCCATGGTTAAAACACACATGCTTAAATTTTTCAAATTGTTTTAAATTTTTCAAAATAATGTTTTAAAAATGATAAAATATAGGACATTGGAAAACAAAAAAAAGAAGCAAAGTAGAATTATCTGTACAAATGCCACCCAGCCGTAACCACTAATAAAATATTGATGGAGACATTTATTTCTAGGCTTTTAATTTTAACAATGCATGTAGAATACTGGTTGATATTGTTTAAGTGTCTCTTTGCATAAGTGGACCTATAAACTTCTTTATATTTAAAAAGTAGACGAAAGTCCATGATTCCTTTAAATTCTATCATAGATTTTTACTAGAATAGTTATACTAAAATGATGTTTTATTACAGAACTATTCTTGATGTACTGAATATTAAAATATATTCAAACTGTCATTCATATGAAACCAGTATTAAAAAGTATTTTTGAGGAGAAATACTTCTTTCTCAAATTAGTTTCACAATGGCTATGATATTAGCATAGGGCTAAATCTATTGGTATTATTTAATAATTTTGCATGTATCATAGAAGGATTAGGTGAATACATTTTTATTTTGAATTTATTGCACATCTATTATAATAATACTTGCCACTTATTGCTGTGGTACTGGCACTGCTCTATGCTTTGGACATACTAACTTATTTAATTCTTATTGACCGTATATGCAATAGGTGCCATTGTTGCCCATTTTACAAATAAGACAAAGGTAGAGAGAGATGAAGTAACATACCCAGGGTCACATGGCCAGTACCCAGAGGAGCTGGAGTAGGAAACTCCATGGTCTGCCCTTTACTACTCAAAAACTAGCTTATATGTCTGGATACCTTAAATTTCCACTTTGTTTGACTTTTCACTAGACTCCCTTTCCTCCCTCTCCTTAAATAGAATTATTTTTGTATTTGTTCCTAAAACATCCTGATGATGGCAGAAAAAAATAGGAGGATATAGAGTATCTGAAAGGGAGATGGCAGTACAGGAATGTTTGGGAAGAGTGAAAAGTAATCATTAATGAAAATAAGAACTATTATTTGTGTTTAGAAATCATTTGAAAAGTAGTTTTTTGAAAATCTTAAAGTATAAACAAAGCCTTCCTGAAACCAGTTATTTCCTTAATTAGGTAGTTGGGGTTTTTAAATTGTTAATGTCTCAGTTTCAGGATTAAAAAATGCTTATCCACTTTGCTGGCTGTAACTCAAAAGTTTAGGTGTGAGAGATCCAATCATGACTAGAGATAAATGAGTAGAATTTCTTACTACTATTGCTGATATCAGACAACTGGTAATGGGCTGCTGACAGAAGATGGATGAGTAAGAGGGGAGGGATGGGGCAAATGGTAGGTAAAAAGCTAACTAGTAGGAAGTGGTGGAGGGCTTGATGTTTTGCATCACATAGTCTGTGTTCTGAAGTTAACAGGTTTATCTTTCCTGTTATGTTTTGTCCTAGTTGCTGTGTCCTTAAGGAATCAAAAGGTCATTTTACCCCAGACATCAGATGCTTACCAGGTATCTGTTGCAAAAAGCGTCTCCATTCCAGAGCTCAGTGCTTTCACACTCTGCTTTGAGGCAACCAAAGTTGGCCATGAAGACAATGATTGGACAGCTTTCTCCTACTCAAATGCATCCTTCACACAATTGCTCAGTTTTGGAAAGGCCAAGAGTGGCTACTTTCTATCCATTTCTGATTCAAAATGTTTGCTGAACAATGCATTACCTGTCAAGGAAAAAGAAGACATTTTTGCGGAAAGCTTTGAGCAGCTCTGCCTTGTTTGGAATAATTCTTTGGGCTCTATTGGTGTAAATTTCAAAAGAAACTATGAAACAGTTCCATGTGATTCTACCATTAGTAAAGTTATTCCCGGGAATGGGAAATTGTTGTTGGGCTCCAATCAAAATGAAATTGTCTCTCTAAAAGGAGACATTTATAACTTTCGACTTTGGAATTTTACCATGAATGCCAAAATCCTCTCCAATCTCAGCTGTAACATGAAAGGGAATGTAGTCGACTGGCAAAATGACTTCTGGAATATCCCAAACCTAGCTCTGAAAGCTGAAAGCAACCTAAGCTGTGGTGAGTTTGTACCTTATTCCTTTTTTTTTCTTTTTTTAGCATTATTCTATGAATATGATTGTCAATAAGGAATTATACATACACACAAATGTACGTGTATGTATATTCCCACATATAGATATAGATATCTATGTTGTCGTTAAAAAACTCTTTTAAGTTTTAAAATGTCGTCTGCTCAGCTCTTATAGCACACATTTGGTTATAAACTATGCATGATCCATCAAGACATTTGGTTTAACCATTCTTAAGTTTTCCCCATGTCATAAAATATCACGGAGTTTATCACTAATATAACAACAGTTATAATTGTGGACTTTCAAATAGAAATGTTAACACTAGGCTTGAAATAAAATAAATTAATAAGTAAGTTATTGTTATTTTTTTTGAGACAGCATCTCACTGTGTTGCCCAGGCTGGAGTGCGGTGGGGCGATCTTGGCTCACTGCAAACTCTACCTCCTGGGTTCAAGCAATTCTCATACCTCAGCCTCCCAAGTCTCTGGGACCACAGGTGTGCGCCACCATGCCCGGCTATTTTTTGTATTTTTTTTTTTAATAGAGATGGGGTTTCATCATGTTGGCTCAGCTGGTCTTGAACTCCTGACCTCAAGTGGTCCACCCACCTCAGTCTCCCAGAATGCTGGGATTACAGGCGTGAGCCACCCTGCCTGGCCAGTTACTGTTTTTTGTTTGTTTGTTTGTTTATTTTGTTTTGTTTGAGACAGAGTCTCACTCTGCTGCCCAGGCTGGAGTGCAGTGGTATGAGATCTCAGCTCATTGCAAGCTCCACCTCCCAGGTTCACACCATTCTCCTGCTTCAGCCTCCCGAGTAGCTGGGACTACAGGTGCCCACCACCACGCCTGGCTAAGTTTTTGTATTTTTAGTAGAGACCAGATTTCACTATGTTAGCCAGGATGGTCTCTAATCTCCTGACCTCATTATCCACCCGCCTCGGCCTCCCAAAGTGTTGGGATTACAGGCGTGAGCCACCAAGTCTGGTCACAAAGGTGATCAGTAATAAACTGATCTTTATCATCCTGGAATTAAATTTCAATTGGATGACTTAAATAAGCAACCATCACCTAAGAATCGTATTTACTCAGCCAATATTAAATATCAAAACTGTCCATTTTATAGAAAATCTTAATCAGAAATTATCCATTTTTTCTTTGAACATGTTTCTCCATTTTTTAAAAATGAGGATTTATAGTTTGTTGCAAATACTGTGTTGTCTCTAGTTCTTCGTGAGACTGTAAATGTGCTATTTAGAAGTAGCTAAATGCAGAATATTTTGAGAAATAATTCTGTGTGATAAAAATTGTATTAAAATAGATTTCCACCTAATATTCTCCATTTACACAAGCTAATTCTGGAAGCTCTTATTTTATTATAGGACTGATTCAAACACAAAAAGTAGAAGTTTCATTATCAACTTTAAATATCATATGACTAAATCTAAGACAGTGATAATGTATACATTTTAGTCACAGACATAACTCTCAATTAAAAAGGAGAAGAAGGAGTCTAGTATTCAAAAGTAATTTGTGTGTGACTTTATTCTTGTATAAAATTTTTCATTGGAGCACAGCCATGCTCATTAGTTTATATATTGTCTTTGTCTGCCTCTGTGCTACAATGGCTGTGTTAATTGATTGTGATCAATACAGTATAGCCTGCCATCCTAAAATGTTTACAGTCTAGCCCTTTAGGAGAACATTTGCCAACCACTGAAACTAGTCTAAAGAACTATGATAGTCCACTTGGCTGAACCACATACTTTGGACAGCACTGGAAAAGACCTGCTAGATCTCCTCAGCCAGGGAAAACAAACCAATCACCCACAGGCTAGTTTAGCCCTAAGACATGGGTGATGGTGGTAGCATTTATTTGTTCCTGTTCATTTACATTTGTTCCACACAGTGCTTTTAATTGATGAATTATTTCCAATATTAAAAAATTAGATTTCACATAAAAATGAAGTTTTGGATTTTTCTGGTAAATATAATACACTAGGCTACTATATCTGCATGGCCAACACAGCTGGAGCTAAATGGTGGCTGCTGCTTTCAAAGGGGCTTCCCAGTTTACTTCAGCCCTTAGCAACCCCTTATTCTTCCCACTCCAGCCCCCTTTTTGTCTTTAGATTGCCTTCTGGCCCTGATAGGCATTTAAGTGGGAATGGTGATTTATGCCACTCCCTTTATATGGGCCAGGAAACTGAAGCGAGAAAATAAGTGGCAGAGGCAGTTGGTGGGCTCCAACACGTGTCTTCTGTTTCCATGTCTAGTATTTATGTTTGGGAATACTCATTTAAAAAATTATTTTAAATTATTTTAATTGATAAAAACTATATGTGTTTATGGTGTACAACATATTTTAATATAGGTATACATTGTGGAATGGCTAATTTGAGCTAATTAACTTTCATTATTATCTCATGTACTTATTTGTAAACAGAACACTTAAAATCTCTCAGCAATTTTCAAATATACAATCATTGTTATTAACAATAGTCATCATGTTGTACAATAGATTTCTTGAATGTATTTCTCCAGTCTAACTGAAATTTTCCATCCTTTGACCCATACATTCTCAACTCCTGTGCCCTGTCCACCCCTGTGCCCCTGGAAACCACTCTTCTATTATTTGCTTTTATGAGTTCAACCTTTTTAGATTCCACATTTAAGTAAGATCATTCATTTCTCATAATTTCTTAAACTCTGTCTTCCAGACTCCTTTCCCAAGCCTTAAGATTATCAGAGTGCATCAAGTACATACTCATGTACCTTAGTCATCTATAAGTTTTCAAACTAATTTTGTCAAAAGGGTAGCGTGAACTTACACAGTCAATATATTTGAGTGTTTTTAACTTTTATAGTGATCTTCTTGCCATTCCAAGATGACGTTAAGCACTCACATTCCAGACATTCAGATGTCCTGGACTGTGTTTCAGGAGAAATGATGGGAGAGGGAATTTCCTGCTGCTTAATCATCAGCTTTGGGAGTTGAAGAACCCAAGTCACTCATTAACTGACAGGAAATACCTGTAACAGAGAGTATATCAAGGCTTGTTAGCTAAGCAAATCTTTCATAAGTGTGCCCTGTTAACATTTTAACCTTTCATTTTTTTTTTCCAGAAAATGAAAGCATCTTGCTGTTTATGGTTATAATTTCCAACAAACTAATGATCAGTACAGTAACCAATGGGAGAATAGAAATTTATTTCTAGCATTCCATTTAATAGACAATGTCTGCTAAATTTGAGTTTTTATTTCAGGATTAATTTGTGATGGAAAAATAAATAGATTTTGCAAAGGTATATTGCTAAATAAATTTTAATTTGAAAGTAACATAGTAGAATTGAACTGACTCAATTAAACATTAAAATGTCCTGTCATTTGTTTCACATATTAAACATCCTAGCCTTAATAAAATTGATATATTATTAGTAAATATTCTAACAATTTTAGAATATGACTTTGTTTTCCTATACTTTTCTAAAAAATATTTGGGAAATGTACCTTAATTAGGAAATTTTCAGCAGATTTTTAAAAACATGGTTAAACCTGTCAATCCTTTTAAAAACAAAATGCTTTATTTTGCAATAAATCTTCTTCTTTTTATAGCATCTTCATTTTTCTTAGAACAATTTTATTAAACACATTCAGTTTTATGACTCTCATGGATAGATAAATTTTTAGTGGACTCTTTAATTATAGGTACAATTATTTATTTACCTGTGTGATGATTCAAGTTTAGATACTGGCTAATGTCCGTCAATTTCACTAAGAACAGACAGTGCCTTCTCTACTAGTTTTATTTATTTTACTGATTACTACTCTTTCCTGAGGGAGTGGTACGGTATAATGCAATGAATAGTCTAAGTTCAAACGAATTACATTTATTTTAACAAGCATTTATTAGGCACTTCCATGGATTAGCTACTGTGGATGTAGAGATAAGACACACTTTATAAGTACTTTACTGTTATTTTCTGAAATTTCTGGATTTGTACTTTTGTTTCCCTTTCTAGGATTTTTTACCGAGTTTGCTAAGGTTTCATCAACTCTTGGATTTTTACCCTTTCATAATCATTACAGTTCTGTTCTTCATAGCCTTAAATTCATAGCCTTCACAGCCTTCAATTCATTATTGGTTCTTCCCTTGCACTTCTAACAAATGATTGAATGTAATATTTTTAGATAACTAAATCATTTTTAAATAATAAAATTAAGATAAATCACTTTATCTTTACAAAGGACTTTATACTTTGAGGATGCCCAAACTCTTTATGAACATAGATGACTAAATTTCACTTTAAATATATTTATTCATGAAAAGTTGAAAAATTCATCTTAGTAACAACTGCAAAGAAAAAATGAAAGGAATTACTTTTTCTTTTTCTGTTATTGCAACTTATTGTGAGGGTTTGCTCTTCAATTATTTGGAGTATTATTGAGTAGGTATGAGAGGAGCAGTGGACTATACATCAGTCTTTTTTACCACAACTTGTGTAAATATTAATATATACTGACTTCTTTCAGTAACATAATTTGGAAAGAACAACAGATAGAGAAGGATTAACAGCTTTAGAGCTTTTCCTCAACTACCTGTTTTCAGTGATTACATTTTTTTTCAAAAAAATTTGGCTCTAAATTTTGCTGTTAATGTTATAGAACTTTGCTTCTTAGCTCAGCTAAAACCCAGGTTCTTGTCACACAACCAGGAAAATTGAGGCACGCGTACACATTGAGGGGTGAGTAGAGCAGGACTTCATTGGGCAAAAAGAAAAAACAAAACAAAAAACCACAACAACAAAAAGCTCAGCAAAGTGAGATGCAGGCCTACTAATAGGCCCTCCACCTCACTAATTGATTGCCAGGTCCTTACAGGAGCTGGAGAGAGCAGGCTCCTCCCCTGCATAAGGCACGAATTCTCCGAATTCTCCGTGGCTCCACCTACCTCCCACAGTGCGCAAGTCAGGCCCTAATCCGCTGTGGGCAGGCTCAGGCAAGGCCTGGGCAGGTTTCCTCATCTGCACAAAAGCATCTGATGTAAACACTTGTGGAGTGGGTGGGAGATTCTCCAGGGACCCGTTTTTATCTGCCTAGGCATTTGGCTGTCTCATTAATATTAAGTAAATATCTGAAAACACCTTTCTGGTAGCTTCAAAAATCAGTAAACACATACAGATCATATTCTAAAACCAATTTGTTGATGATAAACATATCACTATCCAGAAGAGTGAATTGTTTGTTCTTCCTTAACAACCTCCTGATGCATAAATCCATCAGCCAAGAAAACTGATTGTGATACTGACTTTTTATGCAGATATGTTGAAAATAGAACTGGGTAGAAATAAAGTTAGTGCATACTTTTGATATTTCATGTATTTGTTTATTTTGGTGTGTTTGTAATGCACGTTTTCATTTATCAATTTAATTTCCTTTTAATTAAATTAGTCACATGTATTTATACCATTTTTACTTAAAAACATTCCAGTTTGATTTTTATTGTCATTTTGGGTCATATTAAAATAGCGTTTATTGAGTATTTGAAGCAGTGTCAATTTCCTAAACTAGAAGTTCCCCAGAAGGAACAGCTAACTAAAATATTGAGAAGTAAATGTTGCAGTTTCCCATAAAAGAATGCTGCATATTGAAATTTATACTTGTTACTGTGCAATGAAACTGATGAAATGTTCAAGAAAATTGTTAAATATCTTGCTCTAAATCATAGCTCTTCTGATTTTCTTTTCTTATTTTTACCTCTAAGCTCTTTAACCTACTAGTGGGAATGTAGTTTGCCTAAAAACTGCTTTCCCATAACACTGAGCCCTTATCTCCCTTTGTCTTCCAGAGATATTGTATCAGTGCCAGAAGTGGCCTAAGGAGCCCTTGACTGCCAACATTGTGTGTAATATGAGAACCACAGGAACTCCCTCCAGGGTCTCCTCTGTTGCATGCTGCAGAGGCTGAGATTTCATTAGGCTCTGAACTTTAAAGGCTTTTTAGTTTGCGGAAGTCCCTTACAAAATATAAGTACCTACAAAAGGGAGGTCCTACAAAAATTGGGCTTATAGTAAATGTGATGCAAGGGAATAATGGGCAAAAAGCATTCAAGACAAAATTCCACCTCAGTCCTGCCTTAACTTCTGCCTCCTCGAATATTCTTTTTCCATGGTGCATTTGCTTAAGTTTTCAATCTTCAAAACACCCCCTTCCTCTCTCTGCTTCCTTTCACAGCCAAGCTTCCTCTTCTTGCATTCACTCGTCAGACCTTGGCAGTCTAGATTTCATCATTCCCACACAACTCAAACTATTTTCTATAGAGGTACTACCAAAATCCCAATGCAAAGTTAAAGTTCTTTTCATTCTTTATCACTCTTGGCCTTTCTGGTATTCTCGATATTGCCACACCCTGCATTAAACTTTCTTCTCTTAAATTCTGTAAAACTACCTCTGTAAAAGTTTTACCTTTTTAAGTCTATAGCTCTTTTTCTTATATGTGATGCTTAAATATAGAAATATCTGTGATTCCATCCTGTTTCCTTCTCCAATCTACAATCTATCTACAGTGATCCCAAACACTATAGCTTTTGATGAGTATTTCCTGGCTACACCTCTTACAAAAACACGTTTGCATCTAGGTGTCACACAGGCACCTCAGTTTCCGTTACTGTACTTGGTGTTTACCCCACCTAAGTCTGCTCTTCTTCTATTATTTCCCATCTCCTTTTATTAGATCGATATGTGCCAGTTTCTTAAGTTGGAAATTAGCAAAACGTCCTCTATTCTTTCTCTTTTCCCGTCTTTAATTAGTTGCTAAATGTTATGCATTCTGTCTTTAAATTTCTTGTATCTGTATCTATCTCTGTCGATCCTTTTTACTCATGATATCAAGGCTGAATTATTAGTAGTATTCCTGCTTCTATTTCCCTTCTTTTGGTTGTAGAACCTAAATGACTGTTTTCAAAGAAATATAGTTTTCTTGCCTACCTCCTCCTCATTTTCCCTCACTGCCTTTAAGAAAGAGTTCACAATGTTAGCAGTTCACCTGGTGAACCCAAAATATCTGAGACAGGTTTTAATTAGTTTAGAAAGTTTATTTTTCCGAAGTTAAGGACACACCCATGACACAGCCTCAGGGGATCCTGATGACATGTGCCCAAGATGGTCAGGGGACAGCTTGCTTTTCTATGTTTTAGGGACACAATACATCAACCAATCCATGTAAGATTTACATTGATTCAATCTGGAGAAGGGCAGGACAACTCCAAGTAGTGGGGCGGGGGCTTCCAGGTTATAGGTAGATTTAAAATTTTTCTGACTGACAATTGATTGAAGGAGTTATTATCAGTAGAAAGGAATGTCTGGGTTAAATAAAGGGTTGTGGAGATCAAGATTTTATCATGCAGATGAAGCCTTCAGGTAGCAGACTTCACAGAGGATAGATTGTAAATGTTTCTTATCAGACTTAGGGTTTGTGTTGATGTTAATGCTGGAGGGGTGTAATGAGGCATGTACAACCCTCTCTTCCATCATGGCCTCAACTCAATTTTCAGATTAACTCTGGAAGGATGTTGGCCAAGAGGAGAAGTCCATTCAGATGGTTGTGGGGGCGCCCTAGAAGTTCATTTTTGGTTTACAGCCTTGAGTGCCCACCACTCAAGGTTCCAGTGTGTGGGATTAACCACTGGAAGAAAGACAGAGGGCTGTAGTGTTCATGGTATTGATATTTTCCAAAGCCTTACAGCAGCTGTCCATTGTTTATATGTCTGATCATCCTTATCAGTTTTTACTTTACTTTAGCAATGCCCAGTGACTTGGTGCACAGACCATTTCAGTGCCTCCTTGGTATTTGTTTTAGAAATTCTGTCTGCCAGTAAAATACCGATCTCTACTCTCCTACCCCTGGCTCTCTCACAGCCTCCTGTGCCTTATGGGCCGCCTTCTTTGAAATTGATTTCTGTTCACTTTTCTTACCAAGCTGCTGTCACATCCTCCTTTGGGTCACTGCCACCTTTGGAGCACTTCCCTGATAGCACTTAGAACTGTGACGCCATCTTCCTTTCATGCCTCCCTGAGAGCAGCAACTTAAATTAAAGCATCATTCTGGTCTCTGTCCCTCACATAATGTAGGCAATAAGTAAATGTTTGTTGAAGGAATGTGTAAAGGTCTGTGACAAGAGCTGCTTGCCAGTCAGTGTCATGTCATAGCCTGCCTGTAAGATCAGGCCTTTCTGAAGTATCAGGATTCCTTCCTTGGGCCAAGTGCCGCAAGGTATCAAGGATGAAGAAACCATGCCTCTGGAGATACTGTTAAACTGTTACGTTATTTTCTGCTTATGCATATGGTTTACCTAGTTACTTTTGTAGGCTCGTGCAGGAGCTGTGCCTTCACATTCCCACAGGAAAGTTTTGAAATGTTTAGTAGAATAAAATCACTATTATATAAATGTCCCTTAAAATTAAATATGTTGTGCATATTATATATGTGTATATATATGTATGTGTATACACATACATACATATATATTTGTATTTTTTGTGTGTTTTTGATACACTATACTTTGTTGTAAGTGTAGCCAATGTTTCTCAAGATTCAAGCTGTTGGAAAAAGTCTGTTAATTGTCAGAGGGACATTTAGTGCAACAGTGAAAATCTACCAAAAAAAAAAAATCAGCTCAAAACTTGTCCTGCTGAGAATGAGTTAGTAAAAGCTTGAAATAAAAAGACACAGAGACTGAATTGAAGTCACAAAAATGTATTTCTGGAATTACAAATAGCATATGCTAGGACGTATGAACCAAAACTGTGCATGTTATGGGTAATTCATAATATGTAACTTCACTTTTGAAACTTATTCTTGATGTTTGTATCATTTTATTTGTATGAATTCCCACCCACACTCTTAAAATGTTTTATACAAAGAAGTCCTGAACTTTTTGTACAAACTTTAAGGGGCAATGGCACTGCTTTTCTTTTGATATGTGATGACTGATAAATTGAGTTAAAGATTTCGAGGACAATTTCAATACTTTGGTTTTACATTTGAGAAAATTAAGGCACAGTGACCTTAAGATACTTTCTTGACATCAAAGAATTACTGGTGGACTCTTCTAGGGCTGCTTCTATTAACCGTATGATTCATGATATTTTTTTCTGGATAATATCACTAAATCATAAATCAAACTTACATATTCTCTTTGTGTTAATCAAGGTTCCTACCTGATCCCGCTCCCGGCAGCAGAACTGGCCAGCTGTGCAGACCTGGGGACCCTCTGTCAAGGTAGGGAGCCCACACTGTGCTCCAGAATCTCTTTGCTTTCTACTTGCAATTTTGGATAATGTAGTTGTCATTGTTTTGATTTTTATCTGATTTTTCACTTGGAAAGCCAGAAAACAGCAAAACAGAAGAATTTCTGCATGTGTTTTAGTTGTGTGGGTGCACAGTACGTACGGCGTGGAGAAAGAATGCTTTCACACCATGGGTAACCACAATTCCACAAAGCTCTGAGTTTAAAAATGTGAATATATGGATTGATTTCATTTTTCCCCCATGTCTTCTCAAGAATATACTGGACTTGCAAAAAGTCCAGTGTAAATACAGTGTACAATACTTTGAAGAAGTATTCATGTCTATAAAACAAAGGGGGAAATTAATTTGAATATTCAGTTAACTTTAAGATAAGGCCGTGAGGCAATTTATGATGACAAGATAGCTTAAATCTTAAGATTAAAATGGTTAAAGTAAACTAATGTTAATGTAACTGTGTTAATATTATGATGCTTACTATATCGTGGTCAGTATTTCAGTTATATATTATGTACTAAATAGCTGCATGCTAAATAATATGTAAAGTTATACAAGTTTTAAAATAATAATATAAATATTTTGCTTTATTTTATCATTTCTCTTCCTAATTACCCATGACTCTTTTCATCTATTCTATTAAATACTTCTATAATGAAGTAGTATGTTCTATGTACCACATTAAGAATCACAGCCATGCCTTTTGTAAAAGCTGGATCTCTTATTAAGAAGATCATAGCACAAAGGTGACAGTGGTTAGAAGTGAGATTGAAGAAGTAGAAACCTAAGCTCTCTTCTGTGGTTCCAGTGTGAGAGTAGGGCAGGCAGGAGGTGGGGTGGGGTGTAACTTATTATTATCTTTGTTTTCCTTTTGGAGACATTATTTCTTTGATATTATTATTATTAATCAACACTCTATGAAAATTAAGTCATCAAGGAGTTTTTCCCCGTAATCTCTGTGTAGTTTTCAAATTGTTATATGAAATTTAAAAAATCTGTAATTCTGTTTAGTTCAAGATCTAAACTTTTAAAAAAGTTATTTTTATTCTTAAAATTATTCTCGCCTGAGATATCTGACATAATACTTTGAAAATGTCTGCCTTATAAAGCTTGCCCTATGAAATACTTTTTATTCATCAGTGTTTAGTAAACTTGTTGGAAACTAAATGATTAACTTAGTCTATGCATTTCATTTGTCTTTTTCTTTACATTCATCTTAAGAAGAAGTACATTTTTCTTCTGAGATTTTATTTCTCTAGTCTCAATGTTATTAGGCAAACTAAGTTTAGATAACTTTCAAGCTGCAGATCTGTACAGGCTGCTTTCTATAACTTCTGACAGACTCAGGAAACTGAGTTCTAGAAGGGTTTAGTGTTTCACTGTGTGATTGCCAGGTTGTTAATGGAGATCTAGGTCTAGAATCTAGAATCTAAATGTCCTTTCTCTCGTCACTTTGTGCTTGCTCCAGACCCTTGTGTATTATAGCATCAAAGGCCATGTGTACTGATTCTTAATGTGTCATAGGAAGCATTTCTTCATCTTATACATTACAACCTTGGAGTCTGTTGTATTTCAAAATGGTTTCCATTCTTGCCCTGTATATTTTAATGCATTAATTATAAATTGCTTATCCAAATTAACTGTCATGTGCTCTTTGCAAAATTACATCTTTCTCATCTTTATTACCAGCTACTGTAAACTCTCCTAGTACTACACCACCCACTGTCACCACTAACATGCCTGTTACTAACAGAATCGATAAACAAAAGAATGGTAAGAAATCATTACCTTTTATATTTTTAGTATGTCTAACATAAAAAATTGTATTCTAAGGAGGGAAATATGTATTATTCCAACAAAGCTGCTGTTATTGGAGTCAATTGGTACATTTGTAGGACTAGTAAAATTAATAAAGATCACTTAACTCTGTTGAGTTCCTCATTCTTATGACCAGTGGAATGAGTACATTTCCAGTACTCCTCTTTTGCGTTTTTAGCCAAAATTTTTTTCAAAGGAAGTTTTAGGGGAAAAAGCATTTAATTAGAAGGCATTAATGTGCATCATAATAGAGATCAGAGAAAAACGTATTTCCATGGTATTTTGTCAGATTATTTTCTGCAGAAAACAAGTTTTAAAGGATTTTACAAATTTCAAAAAACTAAGTAATTTTAATAATTTGATTTCTCACTTAAGTGAACTTTATGTTCATATATTTGTGACATTTAAATCAATTTTCATAGTAATACTTTGCTTTCAGTTTTTATTTGCTGAAGAATAATAGATTGTGATTATATATCAACTAAATCAAATCAATTTTTGAATGACAACAATTAAAGTCACTTCAAATACTTCTTGCTTTTTTCCTCCAAATGTACTTTTCTATTATTTATAATTTGCAAATATAGCAGTGTATGGTAAGAAATAAACAGAGGAAAAGTCAGGTGAATACAGTTCTTTAACCTGTTCCTAGATGAACAACATGCATGGCCTTTTGGTAATTCACAGTGAGCGATTTCAGTTTCTTCTAATAAAAGAGAAATTCCAATCAGGTGACCATACCATTGCTTTGAATACAGTAATATTCTCAAATATGAAGCATTAGAAACAAAGAAATTTTCTAAACTCCAGTCATTTAGCTTATGAGGCCAAGACATCTGTAATATATCACCAGGGACCCAAAACCCTGAGAAAGGAAACCCACATAGTTCATTTTTTCTTGGCTTCAGAGGTTACATTAATTTCCTCTGTAAGACATTTAAATTGGAACTCTGGAATATTTTACATGAAATGTAGATATAAATTTCATTAGGGTTATAAAGGCGTTGATTCAGGGAGTGTTTATGGTTATTCTGGTAGTTACACCAAGGAGATTTATGATGGAGCAAAAATTCCAGCATCCCCCAAGAAAGCAACAGCAGCTGAAATTTCCAGTGCATATTTCACATGGACGCTAGCCAGTAGATGGGAATATTATAATTCTAACTAAGTATTTCACTCTTTGTATGAACATACAAAGAGCCTCTGTGGTATTCTCCCTCCAGGATTGACACATCCTCTACTGCCCAAGAACTTTTATACCGTGCTTCAGAGTCCTTGACTTGGTGGAGTGGAGCTGTATTCACTCAATCATATCATTTCTGACATTCTTGAAGAAAGCCTTGTTTAGGCCATCTCTCTCTGCGTCATAACCTTCATTGGAGTTTCAACAAAGCAAGCAAATGTTAAGAATCAGTTAAAATGTTCTGCTTAACCATATTAATGAAAAAAAATCTAATTCAGATAATTCTTAATCAAAATATCATCTTAGCGTTTAAAAATATTTGGGTCATTATATGACGGAAAAATTCTCAAAATTGTGTGTCAAATTTGTGTACCATCTTAACAATTTTTTTACCATTTCTCTGAATCACGTATACTATTTAATATGATTTTTTTCCTAAATTGACTCACTTTTTAACTTAAACATTTGTGTTTACTTGGGAAAATCTATTTCACGACTGTAAAGTGAAACCAGTCCTACTTGTTATAATACAGATATAAAAAGTGAATATAAATATAATGTAAACAATGTTTTAATGTTCTCCCTGTATCCTATTACCTTCTCACATCTTAGAGCGTGAAGCCTTCATTATCTTTTTAAAAAGGAAGACTAACAAAGTATTAGAGACAGACTATAATTAAGATTTTTTCTTTGATGTAATCAAATTTGAAATTGAAGATAATTACTTTTTCACCTATGAATAAATGCTATTTAATGTCATGTCCTGGATTATCATCACTGATATAATATTAACAATTTCTTATTCTTTGGGAAACAGAGAATAAACATTCTCAGGCTTGCTTTCTGATATATTAGAGAATTCTATTTTATTTACTGTAAGAAAGATTGGCACAACTGTCAATTATCTGATTTGTCCAGTCCTTTTAACTCTTGGCTATCAGAATTTTACTGAGTCAATCAATAACAATATTGCATTTTTGGGAGAGGAGAGGGATTGAGTTTGTTTGATAATCAGATATATTTATCATAGTGTATCAATAGAATTTGTTTTCCTGGTTTTTGTGAAATGTTCCTATTTTTCTGTGTAGAGTTATTTTTGTTGTTTGCAATAGGACTTTTATCTGATACCTCAAATTACACTAAGTCCTCATTAATGTCATTGATAGGTTCTTAGAAACTGTGACTTTGAGCAAAATAACATGTAATGAAACCAATCTTACCATAGGCTGATTGATATAAACAAGAGTTAAGTTCCTACAGCATATTTCTGGTCACAGAAACATCACCAAACTTCCAAGTAAAGACTGAAACCCTTCTAATATTTAACATTGTAGTTAATATGAGCTGTACATACATTTAAGAAAGATTAATGAAAACAAGTAAGATAATTGATTGCCCAAATTTGGGTGAGCCAGTGAGTGACTGCAGACTTAGTGGCAGTGATGGGTTAAATCAAGAAACAAATGTTTGCGCAATGAAAATTGAGAGGAGCACCTCCTGCTACCAAGCAGTTCCAAAACAATCACCAATATGGGGGTTCGCCGAGTGCTTTCATACTATATCATTTATTGTTGTGCTTTTATATGATTATCTTATACTTTTTGAATTTTTGTTTTACACTAATGTGTAGCCATTCATTAATTGACTTTCCAACCTGCTTATTCTATCCAGTTCAGGGTGGCGGGTGGCTAGAGCCATCTGGGCAGCTCAGGGCTGCAGGCAGGAACTAGCCCTGGCCAGGACGCCATCCCATGGCAGGGCACACACACACACCTACACCTACTCACACTGGGACCGTGTAGACAGGCCAGTGAATCCAAGGTACACAGCTCTGGGATGTGGGAAGACACTGGAGGACCTGGAGAAACCCCATGCAGACAAGGGGAGAACATGCAGACCCTACACAGATGGGGGACCTGGCCAGGAATTGACTCTTCTCCTCATCAACTTTGTAATGAAACTCCATTTAATGAAATGATGTTACTCAGGGACCTGCTGTGTACACTAAGAAAGTATTTAAAGCTACTTTTCACAAACAAGTATTTCAGGATGTGGATAATCTGGGGATTCCCACAAATAATGACCTTTTATATGTTTTCCATTACATTCCCAAGAAAAGCTCTTGGACTAATTATTATTCCACTCCAAATCGTATCTTCTCTGCTTCAAACATCACTCTAGTGCTACTGAATAGTAAACTTTTGTGAGGTTGTCACAAGCAACCCAACTAAGGAATTCACTCCATTAGTCTGTATTATTGTTCTAAAAACCTAGTTTACAAGTAAGTACAGATTGTAACACTGCTTCCAGTTTCTCATATATGTTTAGCCATTTAAATAACGAATTCCTTCTAAGATTGTTTGAATGGATCCATTACTCTGCTTTTTATGCCATATATCTTAAAGAAATTGTGTGTTTAGGAGCTGCAGGATGCCAGTCGCATTGTAAATGCCACTGTCATAATAAAATTCGCTCATCACTAGTTCAAAGAAATAACCAGGTATCTAGATTAGCATTTGGTTTATATTTTAACGTCTGTTTTTTCAAATATGTATTTAGGCCTATCATTTCAAACCTGTACTTTACATCCTTGAATATCGCATAGATTAGAGCAATGTCATTTCTATATTCTCCAAGAAACTCTGAAAAAAATTGTAAGAAGGTAAAAAAGGGAAAGATTAATTGGAGAAGAGACCTACAAAAAATAATGTTGTTTTGATAACCACATTGGTAATCACAGGCAGTGATTTCTGCTTGAAGTTCTGCATGCTGAAAGAAGTATCTAAATGGAAAATGGATATATTCTTAAATCATTTTCCCCATTAATGTCTATAATAAAATCTTTGGGCCTAGATGTCATTATTAGGATAGTACATACATATTTTGAAGTCTCTGGAACACATGAAGATTTGTGAATAGGTTTTAAAACACCATGAGTAGTGTTAACATTTGTAAGAGAAGACAACTTTACTGCTATGGTAACATGGAAAATCCTGCATAAGTGTGTCTTAATTATGCATTTCCTCCAATTGCAATGTTGAAGCCAATTATTTTGCTCTAGTCCAAACCCTTCTCACCAGCCCTTCAGTGAACATATTTTTTTATGTTGCTTTGACAGTTCACTCTTGAACTTTTCTCATGGTTACTTATTGACTGCATTATTCAAAAATTTTAAATAAATGTAACAAGTGGACTGGGGCAGGAAACAGTGTTTAAAGAAAACATCTTAAATATTTGGATGCTTTCTAAAAAATGCAGAAATGTCAATGATTTTTAGAATTTTGATGTATTTTCCTAAGAGGGAACAAATACTACTCTTATAACAAAAGCATGCTTTAGGTTTCCATCTAGTGGTGGCTTTTCAGATACTCTGCTAGCATTGATAATACAGATGCTCCTCCACTTGCAGTGGAGTTTGCATTCCTATAAACCCATTGTAAGCTGAAAATACTGGAAAATATCAAAAGTCAAAAATGCATTTCATACACCCAACTTGCTAAACATCATAGCTTGCTGAACCCACCTTAAACACGTTCAGAACATTTACCTTAGCCTACAACTGGGCAAAATCATGTAACACAGTCTATTTTATAATAAAGTGTTGAATATCTCATGTACTTTAATGCTAAACTCGAAAAATGAAATGGACATATGGGTACTAGAAGTACAGTTTCTACTGAATGCCTTTTGTTTTCCTACCATCATAAAGTTGAATGCTGATGAACGATAAGTAGGGAACCTTCTGTATAGTCACAGAATATTACCAGGATCCTGAAATAACTGTTTGACCCTCACAATTTGAATTTTCTCCCAATCATTCAGAACATCTGTGATTTGATACGATGAGATCTACTGTGTAAAAGTTATCTTTATATGTATTATTATGTTTTGTATGTTCCTCCAAATATTTTTCATTCAGAACATTTTTTTAAAGGAATATAAAAGTCAAGATCATTAAAATACCCAAAGAATTTTAGAAGTTGAAATAGTCTGCATAAATTAAATTAGCCTGTGCTTGGACTTGTGCCAGTTTTATATATTTATATTACTACATCCAGGGGCAGCAATTTATATTATTTAGCACAAGACTCTGACACTTGCTGGAAAGACATTCCTTTGGTAGTGGGACTGGAATTTGCATTTTGGTAGATTTGGAAATTCCCAGAGGCTAACTTTTACATTTTTTTTTCTACTGCCTCCCCACAAGTTTTACTGTTTTCTTCAACATTGCTATAGTTATGTATTTCTATATTTGTGTGCCTGTTTTACTGAAGACTTCCCTAAACCTATAAGCATGAAGAAAGATAATCGACAATGGAGATTCAAAAATTGTTCTTCTCTCTATAACCTACCATATTTTAAAAGGGTATTTTTCTCACTAGCTACTTTGACCAAAGCACCCATTTACAGCTATTCAGCAAACTCTTGCTGGTGAGTTTGATTTTTATTTTAAAAAATCAGTTTAAAGATTTCCCCCTACCCAAAAAGCAGAATCTTCTTTACAATAAGATTTTCTTTTTAAAATGAGTTAGTTCAATGAAAATTCTGCCTGCAAATATTATTTATTTTTTTCCTCTACTTTGCTATAAATGAGCATATTTAAGAAATTTTGATGAAAAGTCTGGTGAAATGCCGCCTAATAGTTTAATAGAAGTGCTTTATTAAGCAGGGGAAAGAGAGGAAAAGGAGAGGAATTAGAGCAGTAAGTATGTGTATGCCTGTTCTACTTTTTCAAGTTAATTCCTCCACATGATCTCATTCAAGTTTTCACATCCCAAACTCTTTATCATTCCTTATAATGCACAGAAAGCATAATGCCTTGTTATCAGAAGTCAAATTGTACATGAAAACAGTTAACACATTACAGACAGTAGATATCAGAAATCTATAGAATTAAAAAATATGAAGAAACATATACAAGTAATAAGAGTAAGCTAATTGATAACTATTTCTAAGAAGTTGGAAGGTCAAAAAGCTTAACATCAAAATATTTCATATTTGTTTTGCCTATGTAGAAGGTGTTTCTTTTAACTTATGTTGTAAATTATGTGATTATGAATAAAACTGTATGATTATATGACTTACATGATCATAACTTTAAATTGTTTGAAAATTATGTAACTACAAAAATACAATTAACGGACTAATCCTATTTCCAATGGGCAGATGGAATTATCTATAGAATATCCGTAGTGATTCAAAACATCCTTCGTCACCCTGAGGTAAAAGTACAGAGCAAGGTGGCAGAATGGGTAAGTGAGCTTGTAACTTTTCTTTTTTAAAAAAATTGTTTAACTTCTGGGAATCTGGAAAAGACTAGTTAACTGAATCCACAAATTATACTGAAACACAGATGATATTCATTAGAAATACATAAGTAGATATGTAAGTTGTTGTCCTTATGCATAGGAAGAGAAGTACATTTGAATAAAGGATAAGAACTGAGCCTAGTAGACTATCAGTGTCTTAAATAAGAATAGTATTGCACAAATGGAAATAGATTTTGGTGGCAACAGTTATCTTTATTTCCTATTAGATCCATATATTTTCTACTATATTTTTAAACAGATTCTTTTAAAAAATTGTTTGAATGTTTAGTCAAAACCAACAAGTATGAAAAAAACGCATTATGAAAGTCTTCCACCCATCCTTGCTGCTCATCTGCGTGGAACCAACCCAATAACCAACAGCAAATAGGAAATCACTGTTAGTTTTCTCCGCTTTTTTCAGATATCTTGGTGCACCTGAAAGAAAATTAAACTATAGATTCTTACTTTCTTTTTTACACTAAAAGTAGTATACTTTACATACCATTCTATACCGTACTTATTGTTGCCAGATTTGCAACATTAGAGAACTTTATGGTTTTTTTTTTGTTTTGAAAAAAACAATGCATACTATTTGATTATGTAGCTGTTCAATCATTTATTTAGCAGATCTTCTGTTGATGGACAGTTAGACTGTAATTTAACCAGTATCCTATTGATAAACATTTTGTAGCTTTCAATTTAAAAAATTTAACATTTTATTTTCTTCTTTTTCTTAGAAATACAACACATGGATTTTTTCATTTTCTTCTTCACAATAACAATCTCAAAAATTTTATTTTCCGTAGGTTTCTATTCTATTATTTCATTTCCTACCTACAGCATACTATGAGACTTCATACTTCTTTTTATATGTAATGCTGTTACGGTTCAAACATTTTTTTTTTAATTGAGTCACTATACATTCTGAAATAAGAAAAATGGGTTTTCATATATATTTGGTGTTCGATAAATGTGTCTTTGGTAGCAAAAGAAATTTTACACATTGAGAGGAAGTGGTAGCTACACACACACACACATACACATCTCTATATATATATGAAAAATAACTGATAGAAACCAGTCTTCATTTTAAAGACAGTACTCTTTAAAAAAAAGTTGCCCATAGGTAACAATAGTAGGTAATTAACTCTGTTACAAAATTGGTGAGAAAGGTGAAATTCTCTATTGAAATAAAAGAAAAATACTACTGTTGATTTTGGGGAATGCCACATTGAGATTAGTAACTCATTCAAACAGTAGGAGATATGTTTAACCTCTCAATGGAGAGAGCAGGCTGCAGAAAGAGTATATTCTTTCTGTGTATCCCATTTTCTTTCCAGCATTGTTCTTTTTGTTTAAAGTCAGAATGATTTCAGAAGATAAAATTCTTTATTTTCATTCTCAAGTAAGCTACTGTTAGCTTATTTGTGCAAATAACGGGTAATGTTATTAATCTGAAATTAGCATTCATTAGAAAGTTTGTGCTAGATAAGGTATAAGCTTACATTTATATTTACTTCATGCATGGTTTTCGACATAGCTTTATTTTCATCTGCAGCTAAACTTTACTAGACGTTTTTGTTTAAAATGCAAGATACCAAAGCAGATACTTGATAACAGAGAAAATATAAATGGTGTACCTGTTTCAAATTACTACTATTTACAATTTTAAAATAATTTAACACTTTTTTTTTGCCAGGATTCCCTAAAACTTACATTCAGTTTTGGAAATGCTTGAAAGAAAGGCTATATGAAACAAATGTGTATATGAAAGAAGGCCTAAATCACCCTTCGGAGATGACATGTAAATAGGAGGCTCTCATGTCAGTGAGGGAATCCTGTTTTGCAGTTGTATGGGAAACTGCATCATGGAAGCTTCTTTATATTGGAAGAATCCATTGCTTCATTAAAAATTCTTATGCTGAGACCATAAAGACTGCTAAATAACCACATAATAAATGCATAGTTCCAATAGTATTGAACTTATTTTATTTTTACATTTATATTGTTAATTTATAATTTTTCTTATTACTAATATTGTGAGATGGTAATTACTAGAAAAATGTTTTAGTGTACCTCAGTGTTTGTTGAATCAAGAATAGAGAAGATATTTATTGTGCAAATCTTCTTTAATACGAGGGCTAGAGAGGAAATGATAGTTTTCCAAACAGACTTGGGTTCCAATCTGGCATCTGTTACTGCTTACTTGGATGATCTTAGGCAAACCATTTCTTCTCTGTGAAAGCTCAGTTTCTTTATATATAAGACTGTGGGGTATGTGGGGATAATACCTATTGCATTGGTTGTTGTGAGGATTGAAAGGAATAACATTTATCAAATTCTTGGTATACAATGATCCATTAACTGTCACCTTTACCTTTCTCTCCTCCAGCTGTTCAGGATTTTCCCAGAGTTTTATCTCAGTAACAACTTATGTTTTAGGCAGAAACTTGATTTAGATATATTTTTAAGGTATTATCAAAACTCATCCTTTTCCATTGTGTTTTCCAGCTCAATTCAACCTTCGAAAATTGGAACTACACGGTTTATGTCATTAATATCAGGTAAGACAGAATAAAAAATTTGATAAATTAAAAGTAGTGTCTAATTTAATGCTTCTATTTGTCTCTCTGATTGTACCAAAATATACATACAAATACACACAGCTACCATATGCATAATCTTTCTAAAACAACTGTATTAGTTCATTGCACAAAAAAACCTCAATGGTGCAGTGATGGTTTTAAAATGTTTTGATCATGCATTCCAGTTGATTTGTATTTATTTTAAATGAAAAGTGTGTTGTGTGTTTGTGTAACTGAATCAATATATGTTATAATGTGTCAAAAATTAAAATTGGATAATTAACTATAAATAGAAGTTATTAGTCTCTTCTCACACCCTGGTGGATCACTTAGAGCACCCCCTGGGTTGTATGTACCCATTTCAAGACCACTTTTTTTTCCAGATCTAATCTCGTATATCGACAGTCTGATTGCAGCCTAACTTTTCGAAATTATCCTTCACTGTATTTATATTTAGTTCCTCCACTAATCTTCAGCAATTCGCATTGTCCATATACCCTCCTGTGTACCTTGTTTTCACAGTTCTATACCTGAACTAGTTTTCTAAAGTGTATGTCATGACCCCTAAACATATATTCTGTGAAGATAAGAGATTTAATAACACAGAAAAGGGGTCAAATCGTCATATAAGTTCAGGAAGTATGTTATACAAACGAAAGCAGATTTTTTATCAGAATGTCTCAATTTCTTTAGTGTGATAATATGAATTGTGAATCTTCAAAATGAGCAAAGCACACAGTTGCCTAGCTTTATGAAAGAAGTTAGAACTTCAGGACACACATTTGGAAATACTGGCTTAGAATTCCCATTCTGTCTCTTTATTTCAGGTCCCCAAATTTTATTGTTGATGATGCAGTTGGTGAGGTGGATTAATGGTTATATGTATTTGTGTTTTTAGTTTTCACCTGAGTGGTGGAGAGGACAAGATTAAAGTCAAGAGAAGCGTTGAGAATGAGCCAAGGTAACAGGGCAAAGACTTATAAAGAGTGTAACATTCTTTCTCTTGCTCACTACTTTATCTGGTAGAGAAATGAAAACAATTGGATGGAAAAGAAAATCTTAATCACATAGCACAGTTATTTCTTTAGCACTACTGTATGCTACTTTTTTCTTGTAGTTAAAACTGTAATAGAACAGACTGGGTAGTAATGTGTATCCGATGAAAAATAATTGAGAAATAGTGCATTTAAAATGGATGGATTATTATTTTTAGTATTTCCAGTTTATTTATGATAACCCATTGCCTCTTACTTGAAATTGCAAAGGTACCTTCAAAGAAAATAGCTTTAAATAAAGTGTTTATATATGATAACATCTAATAATATGAATAATAGATGCCAAAATGTTTTCAACATTTAAAGGTATTAGCTAATTTTCTAAAGTCTCCATTTTAAAATTTATATCAGGATCATGCTTTAATCATGCAGGTAATTTAATTGATATGTCCAGCATATATGACCAGTTGGTATGTAAGGACCAACTGTTTAGAGTACTGTAAAACAAAAGAAAACCCCTAAACTTCCAAATGGAATAAATTTAGTTGTATTTAGGTTATTCAGGTCATGTATTACATCTCTGTAGATTTTTTTTTCTTGGGACAGAGTCTCACTTTGTCACCCAGGCTGGAGTGCAGTGGGATGACTATCACTCACTACAGCCTTGAACTCCTGGGCTCAAATGATCCTCCTGCCTCAGCCACCTGAGTAGCTGGGACGACGTACATGTGCTACCATGCCTGCCTAATTTTTAAAATACTATTTTTGTAGAGACTGGGTCTCACTGTGTTGCTCAGGCTCGTCACAAACTCCTGGCCTCAAGTTATCCTCCTGTCTCAGCCCCCCTGAGTGCTGGGATTACATGTACAGGCATGAGATGTTATATCTGGCCTCCATAGAATTTTTAAAAAATTTGTTGTAAAGCAAAAGTTTCTATAAGTCTTGCTGGATCTCAATAGACTGAATTGATATTAATGGATATACAGCCCTGATGATGGAGCCTGCTTCTTTTCAGGTGATATCTTCTTACTATGAGAAGGTAAAATTTCATATGAGGATTGACCAGAGAGCTTTTTTTTTTCTTTTCAATTCAACACTAGAGAAACAAGTGTTTTGAAAGTTATATTGAAAGATGTCATTTTTGTATACATATTAAATGGATTGGATTGAGTCATCTGATTAGGGAAACTTGTTTCTATTTTCTGGTATTTTTTCTTTATGATATGAACACAGTTGTATATTTCAGTACTGTATTCTTGAAGGTGACAAAACTCTTCTCCACTATTTAACCAAATAGTTTTTTTCAATCCTTTCTGTTAGGTCATATTGCATCTTCAGTAATGGATCCAGCAGCAATCAGGATCCCTTTGCTGGACACTTTGTGTGGCAATTGGGACAGCCCTGGATTTGGTATATATAGCCAGTGGTATACCTTCTTCAGGCAGTCAGCATTCACTTTTTAGTTTACTTACTGTGGTTCTTCTGCTACCTGGTGATGCTAAAGTCAGCCATCATTAGTACATGTCAGCACCTCAGAAACTCTTCTTGAAGGACATTTAAATTCATGGGATTTCAGTTTCCTGGTCTGTCAAAGCAATGAGTAATTTTACAGAAAATTATAGGGAGAATGGACTGAAACAGTGTATATAGCAAAATCCACATATTTAGGGGGTTTTTTTGGTATGAACTCGTGTCATTATTTAATATTTATGTTCATAGCCTTTCTTGCCTCTCTTTTTTCTATTCTCTATGGCTCTTACCCACTTTGATGAGGCTTCATAGTCTCAGTTTTTCTCAAAACCACAATCTACTACTTTTACACACATTCTTTTTTAAAAAAACCTTTTCCTTTCAATTTGATTGTATCACTTAACACAGACCGTAGCTTCAGATAATGCTATCATACTCTATTGCCTAGACAGACAGGAAACCAAAGCCACAGAGAGGTTTTTTTTTGTTTTTTTTTGTTTTTTCAAATAAAGAATGGCTGATAGTAACAACAGATAGAATGTGACTTTGTAGAACCATAAAATAGTTTCAGTTTTCAGGATGAGAGAGGAAAACACACAGATAAGACCTGTGAAAATGTATGGCTCTTCCTGACTTCTTGGGTTTGGGTATTCAATATCACCCACAATGCTTTGGGCTAGTTATGTTCTCAGTATTCAAGACAAGTAAAAGGTCACTTTCCCAGCCGTAAGTTCTCACCAGCTGGAGTGGTAAAGCTTGTGTTCAAACAATGATTTAATCAAGGGATACTTTTTCAAGAGCCATTTTAAAAATTGTTAAGCTATCATAGTCACATCTATATTCACAGCTATCATTATAGTCATTATGTTTGCCTTATCCTGAAATATGGCTTACATATGAATGGTAAGCAGTAGATCATTTTAGAGAGAGCTTTTCAGAGTTAATTATGAGAAGAGTAGAGCACCTTTTCCTTGAGATTAGCACAGATATTTAGGAAAGAAAACCGGAGCTATTCTTTAATTTCACCTAGTCTTGAATAACAAATATTTCATATATTCCTTCTTATTTGTTAACACCACAGATAAATTACTACTGTAACAAATACTTATTAATATTCATGGTTTCATAAATAAAATATACCACTGCCTCTCCACTGGACATTCCATAACTAGTTTAACAACAATATTACCACTTTGTGTTTGGTATGTGGACAGTAACTGATCTCAATAATATAACATCTTATATTATTCATTTCTCCTCTGAATATGAAGAAGAAACAAAATTTTTTGTGAATCTAGAGCCTTCACATATAAGCAAAAGAAATTCTCCTCTACCTGACAAAATAATGTTCTTACTTTTACCTCAGTGTTAAATTAATAGTTTTGTTTTCTGCTTTTGACTATAGCTGTGATTGTAGTTGAACAGAAAATTATATTACTTTAAATTATAGAACCAAAAGTTTTTAACAGGGCCTTGGAGATACATTTCTTTGCTTCCCATAGAGGTATTTCCTTTTTAAAGACCTTCAAGATCAACCATTCTATAACCTTCTTAAGTAATATGCTGGGCAATCACAGAGTCGATTTTGATTATTTATTTTGTGAAACTTTTTACCATACAAAGTACTTGCAAATGCTTCATGGAGACAGAACATCATTTCTTGCTATTCTGAAGAAATTGTACCACATTCATAAATAGTAACACCCTTTATCGTGTTAGTAATTAGAAATAGTTAATTTCTTTGTTTTTTTTTTTTTTTTTTTTTTGAGACGGAGTCTCACTCTGTCGCCGAGGCTGGAGTGCAATGGCACGATCTCGGCTCACTGCCAGCTCTGCCTCCTAGGTTCACGCCTTTCTCCTGCCTCAGCCTCCCGAGTAGCTGGGACTACAGGCTCCCACCACCACGCCTGGCTAATTTTTTTTTTTTTTTGTAGTTTTAGTAGAGACAGGGCTTCACCATGTTAGCCAGGATGGTCTCGATCTCCTGACCTTGTGATCCGCCCGCCTCGGCCTCCCAAAGTGCTGGGATTACAGGCATGAGCCACCACACCTGGCCAAAATAGTTAATTTCTAATAGTTAGAAATAGTAATTTCAAAAGACAAATGGTCAGTTGAAATCATAGTTTTTTTTAAAAAAACGTTAATTTGGGGCCACAAAGAAAAAAATATAGAATTAACCACAGGAATGCTGTTTTCTTGTGTTTATGCTTTAACTAGTGACTAACATATTACTAAATATTAAAATATTTCTGAAAAGAAATGGAGTTATATGATAGAATTATACATGCAATAGCCTATAGAATCTATTAATATTGGAATATTTTTAACATTATAATTTACACAGCAGCAGAGAAAGTCTGTGAGCACCTTGGCTAATCTCTTCAGTCTCAACAGGTGATGGTCATCCCTCTACATCCAAATATTCTGTTTCTACTACCAAATGACAACCAACCAATCAACAACAACAACAGTTCTATCTGAAATGTTTCCCTAGGTTGGTGCTTTGGGCCCTTCTAGTTTACAATGCTACCAATAATACTAATTTAGAAGGAAAAATCATTCAGCAGAAGCTCCTAAAAAATAATGAGTCCTTGGATGAAGGCTTAAGGCTACATACAGTGAATGTAAGACAACTGGGTAAGTGACTATTTTTTTATAATATGCATTTTATACAACTTATATATTCAGGTTTACTTGAAACAACAGAAATTTTCTTTATATGCTATTTATTTATGTACATTTTTTTCTGATATGAAGTTCATCACAAATGAGTGACATAGCAGAAAAAAATTCAGCTCAGTATCTGTGAATCCAAGAGAATGAAGGAGGTAGATGAAAGTTCATATTTTACTTTAGGGACATATTTTGAAAATACTAACAATATGAACAAAATGCCAGAATGATCTTGATCATCATTGTTGTCAACTTTAGGAATAAAAAGAGTGTGTAAATGTGGATATGGGAACTCTAGTGAGATACATCTTGTAGAAGGAGATTTCCTGTTATAAAACATCTCCTGCTGGGCATGGTGGCTCATTCCTATAATCCCAGCACTTTGGGAGGCCAAGGTGGGAGAATCACTTGAGCCCACGAATTTGAGACTAGCCTGGGCTACGCAGGGAGACTGTCTCTATGAAAGATTAAAAAATTAGTTGGGTGTTGTGCTGTGCACGTGTAATCTCTGCTACTAGGCGGGTCTGAGACAGGAGGACTACTTGAGCTTGGGAGGTCAAGGCTGCAGTGAGCCATGTTCTTGGCACTACACTCCAGCCTGGGCAACAGAATGAGACCCTATCTCAAAAAAAAAAAACAAAAAAAACAAAAAACCAGAAAATATCTCCTTCTCTCATGTTCCCTGTCTCTATTAGTGATACCACTGTCTTCACAGGACTAGGTCAGGAATCTGGAGGTCTGTTGGACCTAGAATCAAGTCTCTCCTAGAAATCTTTCACATCCTAAGCTCTAACCACACATGGCATGGCTTGTACTTCCACAAAGAGGCTGTGCTCCTTTATATGCCCTTTCTCTATCTTTGCACACTGTTCTCCACTCCCACCGTCAACCTCATTATCACCTATGTATTTTTAAAGACAGCTCCTAAGTCACCTCTTCTATGGAAACTTTTCTGAAATTAAGTATAGACATCACTGCCTTCGAGCCTCTACTTCATGCTGTCCAGGTGCCTAGAGCATCATACAGACTATTTATGTTCATATATATATATATATTTCTCATATATAATGTTCATATATATAGTTCATATATATATTGTTCATATATATAGTTCATATATATGTATTGTTCATATATATATATTTTGTAGACAATAATCGCTTACTTAAGATCATGTTTTCTTTTTTCTTTAACTCTTACTTCCCACATATTCCCAGAACCCAGGACATCCCCTGGAACTTGAACACTTATTGAATAAATGAATGAATGAGTCTGCATGAGAATATTTTAGGAAATCAAATATTCACAAATATGGATAACAAAAAGCAGTTGTTTTAATGTTATTCTATGATTACAATTATACTGTGATTAGGTACATTAGTAGAGATCAAAAGAAAAGAAAACTTTGACCTTTGCCTTCTCTACACTCAGGAGGTTGAATTGAGGGAGGCATGTTCCTCAGCCTTGAAGAGCGTGGTTGTGACCAAGGCCAGAATCACAGTGTAGTAAAGAGGCAGGCATCTCCACTTCTGTGAGGAGCTACCCATTTCTATTGGGTGGATGTAACAGTTACAAAGAACTCATAGAGATGGGTGAATGCAAATAATACTAATAATACTAATCATGACAGTAAACCATTTGTGAGTCTCTATGGGAAAATACTTCTTAACAAATGGGGCTTTTTGGAGGGAGGGAGAATGCAACCAGCTACCCTTTCACATATAGGAGTCTTCACAAAGAAGCAGCCTGACAAATGGTAGTTTATCTATGACTGGAGAACACTAGGAGGACCAGCACCATCTGTGTCCTCATAGGCTGGCAAAGCCCAGCACCACTCTCTCCATATACCTAGACATCTAATTTATACCATTTAATTTAAATTATCCATTTTATTGTTTTTCTGCAAGTGAGTCTGTGGATAAGTGCTTCTACCAATGGAAAAATAAAAGGCTAAAACCTAACAGTTTTAAAGCTCACAGTATACATGGGAAAGTTATTTGAATTTTCAGTTGGTGATGACAGTACTTGTTCCCAGAAAACTGATATTACTTGCTAATGTTCACTCCTGAAATACAAGAGTTTATTGTTGCTGTTGATGTATTGCTGTTACTTTGATATTCTTTAAAATATAAAATCTGAATCATTGATGTATGAGGCTTACTTAGAGAGTTGTCAAACCAAAAGTCAGATGATTTGAGGATACAGAAATCCGAGGGTTTGTTGGTTTGCAGGTGACTTCCTGTGGCCCCCTTAGCTTCCAGACAGGAGAGGCTATCAGAGCAGCTGGAACATTTTCTATAAAATAGCCACACAACTCAAAGGTGACACTATCGAGTCATCATTTATAGGCTTTCCCCTTTGAAAAAAATCAAATTACATTTTGAATTTTTCAAGATTGTTTTCCTTCTCTATAGGGTTTATTTCTTTGAATAAAACTAGTATCTGCAAATGATTAGAATGATAATGTATGTTTCATGTATATACTTACATAAATGTGTTTTTTACTAATGGTTTTATCCGATGTAGTGGTTTTTGTATTTGAAGTGTATTAAGTGTTAATGTTTTTTCTAACTTTTAATTCTTTTTTTATAAATTCTGAACATAAACAGTAATATTTTGGTATTACATTAAAGAAATACCTAATTACCAGCATTGTCATTTTGCTTTCATCTTGCATCTCTAACCTCTAACTTTAAAAAATAAGTGAATATTTCTCATGCTGGTTCTTATGTTCATATAGGTCACTGTCTTGCTGTGGAGGAACCCAAAGGCTACTACTGGCCATCTATCCAACCTTCTGAATACGTTCTTCCTTGTCCAGACAAACCTGACTTTTCTGCTTCGCGGATATGGTAATATTTTCACTGACTCTTGCAGCAAAGCTTAACGTTATCAGCCTTCCCAGGGTTATACGTGCAGCACCGTAGTTCTCAGGCATTATATTGATTGCAAAGAAGGGCAGGAATCTCTGTGTATGCCTATATCATTCACTCCTGGGAAATAAAGATAACATAAGTGGATGACTCAGAAAGGCAGTGTTTTCCTCCCAGCCGCATGCTAATCAAGCCCTCTCACAGAAAAACTGAAGAATTTAGAAGCCAGCGGGTAGCACCAGAGCAAAGTACCTTGTTTGTGGATGAACCTAGCCTAGCCTTGGAATATGCATCTGGAAATCCGAAACTTTTTAGCTATTTGGACTGATTATTGTTGGAATGGGGAGAGGAGGCAAAGAGGAAATGAAGACAAGATCCAGATTGGGATAGTCTACTGATGGAAACTGTCAGGGTATAGATTTTCTCTAAATGTTTAACAGAAACCTCAGGGACAAGATAATTGCAGGGATTCATGGAACAGCAAGTTAAATCCATTTCTCCACCCACCTCACTCCCAATTAGAGTTTTCTGGGGGAAATTCAGAAATGGAAACTGCCTAAGCATACATACTTTGCATACTGTAAATACTGCTGGATTTGATACTTTGTTGGGAGAAAAGAAGGGGACTTTAGAGATGTATGGACTTGAGTGAAATGTGGCTCCATGTCTTCCTGGCTGTTAGAACTTGGAAAATTCATTGATTTATTAAATTCCATTTAATCTTCTGTAAGATGTGGATTATAATCTGCTTTGCAGAGTTATGTGAACTCAAAATCAGATTTTACCTGTAAAGTTCTTAAAGCAGTACTTGGCCAGTGTATCCTAGGTTAGGATATTGCTGGTATATTGTTTCTGTGTTGCGTGCTACTGATTTTTTCCCCATAAGAATTTTTAGCATGAAATTTATTTCAATGCATTACAGTTTTATTTTCAAAGGAAACTTACCTAGAAATCAAGGCAAATCCCAAAAGTTATTAACTAATTTTTTCAGTTCTAATATCATTTATAGGAAAACAGGAAAAGAAAACTTGTAGAAGGAAATAGTACAAATAGAGAAACAAACTGGGGTGAGAGAGGAGAGAATAAGGAAGGGTGAGAAGAATGAGGTGGAGAAATGGAAAGAATTTGGGAACATTGTATGAATAGGGTGGTAAACAGAAATAGGCTAGAGAGATAGAACGTAGACATGTAAACAGGTCCAGAGATAAACAAAGAATTAAAATGAAAACAGAGTGAGAAACTCAGTGTCTTAAAGGGAAGCTTAGCCATTGATCATGTTGTAATAAATGTATACATCATGTAAAAATCCCTTTAAATGGTACAAAATAATATCAGTTATATCAAATATTTAAAATATCTATTTTGTTTCATAGTTATTACAATGCTACCAACCCATCGGTAACCTACTGGGGACCTCCTGATATCTCCAACTGTTCAAGTAAGTGAGCAATTTTCCTTTATTTCTCAAGGACAAAATGATATGACTTCAGGCTTCATGGTTTTCATTGTCTTCGGGAATATTCTTGTGCTGTATGATACTGTTTTCATATTAAAAGGCAAATGATTATTTCACTTAAGACAGAAAATACTTTTTGCTCTCATTTTAACTTTCTATTCTGTAGGGGATTAAAAATAGGAAAATCTAGAGAAGACAAAACTAATATATAAATTGATATTTATATCAATATTTTGTAGTTTGCATTAATTTTAAATAGCAAATTATGCTTATTCAGTGATTCTGGGGATATTTCTCTTAGAACTTTGTGTGTTCATCCCTCCAAGTTATTTGTATCTTACTGAAGAGAGAAGTTACTCTCTGCATAGAAAGAAATATTATTGCCTTGTGAATATGGGGATGAGATATACACAGGAAAATCTCACTTCCTTGCTTCAACTGTAAAGTGAAATGTTACACTCTACTTTGGATTCCTGAAAATGCTCAAAATATGCAGGTAAAACTTAGTGTTGTTTTCTTCTGCCTTTGTTTTAGAAGCAAATGATGTTGCTAACCAGATTTTAGATTTAACTGCTGATGGGCAGAACTTAACCTCAGCCAATATTACCAACATTGTGGAACAGGTCAAAAGAATTGTGAATAAAGAAGAAAACATTGATATAACACTTGGCTCAACTCTAATGAATATATTTTCTAATATCTTAAGCAGTTCCGACAGTGACTTGCTTGAGTCTTCTTCTGAGTAAGTATTTTTTTTCTGGAGAGTAAATTTTATTGGGTAATGATGTTACATGATTTCTCACCTATCTGAATACTTTGTGCCCAGATTTTAGAATTCAAATCTCTGCAAAATGTATTGATAGTCATTCATAGTTAAGCAAGGTCATTCACAATGTGAACTTAAAAGTTCTGTGTGGTCTTTTTTTGAGAAATACAATTTACAATATACATAGCCCTAGAAAGCGCAGTCTTTCATTTTTTATTTGAAAATTCTAAATTTAGTTTAAAAATTCTAAAATTCTAAATTTAGTTGACCAGTAGAGTTATGCATAACTGGTCATTGTAAGTCCACTATACTGTGAACTATGCCACTGACAGCCACAGCCACATGATTGTTGGACTTCTGAAATGAACACGCTGGGGCAGATGAAAATGTACCTGTATTTATATGATTCAATTTGTATTTAATTGCTTCACTTAATGTATAGTATTAAAATATTTAATGTTTTTCTCTTTCTTCCCTTCTACATTTCTCTGAAGAAAATTTTATATTTGTTAAAAATGTATTTTCTAACAATCTACATAACAATATAAACATTTTTCTAGCGTCTTGCAGTTCACAAAACACTTTTATCGCATTATTTCCTTTGATTGTTGATAAGCCGTTAAGGTAGGGAGGATGCTTTTTTATGTGAGAAAAGAGAGGCCAAAACAAATGAAAAACAGTATTTGTTCAGGATGATTTAATTGTTGATTTTCTTTAAAGCAGATATTTCTCTTGAGGATTCATCCATCCCTGTGATTCCATGTTTTAACAGGTATCACTGTGGATTGGGGTAATTTTATGGGTGTTCATGTTAAGATCAGAAAATATGAACACAACTTTATTTTGTTTGTATTTTGCCATGCAGCAAAACTTGTATGTTTAAGAATCTAAAATATCATATTACTTAATAGTGGTATTTTTGTCATTTCTTTAGAGCTTTAAAAACAATTGATGAATTGGCCTTCAAGATAGACCTAAATAGCACATCACATGTGAATATTACAACTCGGAACTTGGCTCTTGGCGTATCATCCCTGTTACCAGGGACAAATGCAATTTCAAATTTTAGCATTGGTCTTCCAAGCAATAATGAATCATATTTCCAGGTAATGAGCCAGTGGTTTCTTTCATTTTAATTAATTACTTAGACATATAAAAACTTGCTGATCACTTAGCGGTTGCTGCTTCCAAGAGGTCTTGGTCCATGAAGTGGCAAGCAGGTCTGAATGTTGGTTAAGTTTAACTAGAGCAGTAGCCATAAGGTATTGTGGGAGCTCAGAGTGAGTATACTTTCATAATCTGGGTGACAGGGGAGGTCAGCTTACCTTCTACAAGAGGGGTTACTGGAGCTAAGCATGAGTAGGGACCACCATACTTGGGGTGAGCATCAGTTCAGTTAGAGGAAAGAGCTTTAAGGGCCCCAAGGTTAAAAGAAGCATGGTGCATTATCTTTGCCAGTGGTTCTGAAACTGAATATTAGGATCTTCTGGAGAATGCTGGGTGTGGTCTCTTATGCCTGTAATCCCAGCACTTTGGGAGGCCTAGGTGGGTGAATCACTTGAGGCCAGGGGTTCGAGACCAGTTTGGCCAACATGATAAACCCTGTTTCTACTAAAAATACGAAAAAAAGTCAGCCAGGCGTGGTGGTGCATGCCTGTAATCCCAGCTATTTGGGAGACTGAGGCACGAGAATCACTTGAACCTGGGAGATGGAGGTTGCAGTGAGTCGGAATCATGCCACTTCCCGCCAGCTTAGGCAACAGAGCGGGACTCTGTCTCAATAGAATAAAAAAAAAAGCATCTTCTGGAGGACTGGAGGACTTGTTAAAACATTTCTGGGACCTACTCCAGGAGTTTCTGATTTAGTAGGTTCTGGTTAGGCCCTCCAAATTTGTACTTTTAGCAAGTTCCTTAGACATTGCTGGTCTAAGTATCACACTTTGAAAACACGTGATGTAGAAGTCTGAGATAGCAGGTGACAGGACGGCTGGACACATATGCTGGGGCTAGATTAATGGAGAACCATTTCAACATGTTCAAGCGATGCATAAGCAAAGAATTTTCAAGTTCCTACTACATACCAGACACTGTTAGCCACCAGAGCAAACAAAATTAATGAAGCATTGTCCTTGACCTGGTAGAGTACAGTATGTGAAGCGCAATCTATCTTTTAACTGTGGAGATAGAACAAACTGAAAATATAAAAAGCCTGAAATCAGGATACAGGCAAGACCTTTTTTCTCCATTAGACTGCAGGCTGTTTTGGGTAATTCTCTTTCACATTTTAAGAGTAAAACTCAGTCAACCTTAGTCTTATTCCAAGACAATTTGCAAGAAAGCTTTCTTTGGCCTTGAGCTATGGTTTCAGGAAAAATGCTATCTGAGAGTGTTCATAAAATTTTAATGCAGTTTTAAATAAACAAGTTGACTTCAGTCTCTTTCTCTTTCTCTCTCCCTCGCCCCTTCCTCCCATAGTTATTATCTTTCACTACGTGTTTTGAGAAAACCTCAAAATCTGCTGCTGGTAAATCTAATTCTTATACTTGAAAATGTTGACTGATTTGTAGATTTCTTCCTATGTCTTAATTAAAATCAATGCATTTTCTCCTTGGATACACATGTAAAACCCAAATGAGATCTACAGCTCTGTCTGTAGGGGTTTATCCAGGAGTTGCAGTGACTACTGTAGATACAAAGGGAAGTCCTGGTACTGGCTAATTTGAACTTGCAGTTGTTCACTCTCCTGACTATGCATGCGGAATAAAGTTATTACCATTTAATTATGATTACTTGACCAATATATCTCTGTGTGTGACAGATGGATTTTGAGAGTGGACAAGTCGATCCACTGGCGTCTGTAATTTTGCCTCCAAACTTACTTGAGAATTTAAGTCAAGAAGATTCTGTATTAGTCAGAAGAGCACAGTTTACTTTCTTCAACAAAACTGGACTTTTCCAGGTAAGCACATTCATTAAATTATTATTTTTCAATTGCAAACGAAGTTTCTTTGCTCAAAGGAAAAAAACAAAAGTTTAGTTTCCTTTGAAATATATCAGAAGGTTTAGAAAAATTTACTGCATTTTCAAAAATGAAAATTTTTAATATAATTGTTTAAATATTTTATTTCAGATAATATGCTTATTAACAAGTTGTATGTACTTCAGTTTTTAAAATAATTCAAGTATTAGGCTAAGGCTTGCATTAAACAATTAGAAATTGAATTAGTGAAGAAATGACTGTTAATTATTACTTTCATTAAATATTTTATGCTCTCCAATCATTTAGGCCTTTAGAGTTAAAGAAATTGCACACCAAAGGAAAGGGTTTTTTTTTCTTTAATTCAGCAGGAAGCACTGTTTACATAATGAGCAGCATTCTTGGCTTTAATCAGTTTTCCCATTAGTATTTCAAGTGACCTTTGGTCTTTACACATCCGCAGAGTAGGATGGCATTGTGCTAAGCACATATTATCATTTTTATTGGCATCATTTCTAGATTCTAGAAGGCCCACTGCCAGCAAACACTGGTGACCTCTGTTTGCCTTTACAAGTACAACCTGATCGAGAGCAGTTTTGCTGGACCCTTTTTAAAAAATAAAACCTATCTGTTAAATTCAAGATATCATTGCATATTGAACAATGTGACTTATATGAAAGAAAATAGCAAGTCTCAAGGCCAGAGAATTGTTTGTAATAGATCTGCCTTTATATGTCATATGTAGAGGAACAGCCAAGTAGAGATATATTCAAGGAAAAGAATACCATGGAATCCTTGACAGTAATTAATTCCAAAATTTAAAAGTTTTATCCACAAATGTTTTAGGAACCAGCTGTATACAAATTTTGTGATTTATATGAATGCAATTTATATATTTTATATAAAAACATGTGTAGTTTATCCTGAAGGATTTAATAGCTATAAACATATACAACTGCAGTTTTAAAAACTATGGAATATAAAGTGTATGACAATGTTACCTTAAAACTAGTATAAAAATGCAGTAGGTGTCACAAAGTGTGAATGGTACAGAAAGGGGGTCCAGTGCAGGGGGAAGGTTTAGCCCTGCACTCTTAAATTTGCAACTCTTAGATTTGCAAGGATCTGTCATTGTTTTGAGTCATCTCCACATCATTGTTTCCTTCTCCTTTGGTATTTCCCTACCAAAGTTGTTATTAGGAAGCATATTTGGCCAGGTGCAGTGGCTCATGCCTGTAATCCTAGCGCTTTGGGAGGCTGAGGAGGGAGGATTGCCTGAGACCAAGAGTTCAAGACCAATCAAGCCAACATAGACCCGTCTCTAAGAAAAAAAAAAAAGGAAGCATATGTTCAGTTTCTAAAGTTAATTTACTGGAGAATGAAAAAAAGTTAAAGATTCTGTGGTGCTCCTCTATCATAGAGGGCAAGCTACGATGGTGTTGTTTTGTGTTTTACTGAAAGGCTGAGTATCGCTATTTAATAGCTGAGTTTAATAGTGACCACCACACAAAATTAGTAAAAAGCTATATTCTGGATGCTGAATTTTATTTAGAATTTATCTTGTGATTATTCCAGAACAACTGATTTGTAAGCTATGATATAAAGAGAAATTCAGGAGATTTGACAAGAAATACAAGGGAAAGAAAAAAATAGAGATTAACTTGCTGAATAGAACGCTTATTGGTCTAAACCATTTTATGGGACAGATTTGATTTCCTGACAGCCTTATTCCTTAATGAAACCCGCAGATGCTGGCAAGGAAACAATCAGAGAAGAAGGTAGATGTCCTGGATGGGACTTGAATCCAGTATTACTTTTAGGTATAAGTTAGTAAACATGTCAAGCTGTTGGCATGGATGTGAAAGATGTATTGCTTTTTATTTTTCACACCATATTTTCTTTATACTTCTCTGAAAGAAAACAGCATCTATTTTCTGGAGTAGGGAAATGATCTAATTGTTTCACAGCTTTTTATGAGTTTATATTATTTATGAGTCTGCATTGTTTCAGATGTTAACTGGCTGACATCAGTCACCACAATCAAGAATGTAGTTTTATGAACTCAGTCTTACAATATTGGCTCCCAGCATTCCCTCAATGTATTTATTATAATAAGGGAAGTAGCAAACCTCCTTCAGGAAAGCCAGCAACTTGATGTGATAAACAGGATGTTCTAGAACTGAAGATCTTAAGTGTAAAAATTACTGACAGTTTGCTTATTTTGGAACACCAAACTAAAATAAAAGTGTGTACTTCTGACTGATACACGCGATTTTTTTTTTCTTTAAAAGGATGTAGGACCCCAAAGAAAAACCTTAGTGAGTTATGTGATGGCGTGCAGTATTGGAAACATTACTATCCAGAATCTGAAGGATCCTGTTCAAATAAAAATCAAACATACAAGAACTCAGGTAAGAAAATGCTCCCAATAGCATTTGGAGAGAGGTGGACTATTTAAGATACTAATGGGGCCTTTTTTTCTACATGTTAAAAAGTAACTGACCCTTTTTTGTGGAGTAGGACCCAGTTTTCCATAAAGAGAGAACAACTGGTCAGGTAGTGCTTTAAAGTCACAGTAAATTGAAGCAGCTGGAGAAGTTAGTTTTATCTAGGACTCAATAATCAGAAAGAGAAGGGAAGTGAAGAGAAGGACTTCTTTTTTTAAGATACAACATATATTGCTTCAAATAAATTAGATGCAGATGTAGTTGCACAATTCTGCCAATAGAGGTATTGTTGTTTCTTTGTTTTTCTGTGTATGAAAGAAACAGGGGAGGGTGGACTTATTTTTTGAGAGATTAGCAGTTGTTTAGTCTTTGCAAGTGTTGCTTTTCTTGTTGCTTCATTACCCTTGTCATCTGTTTGTTTCATAAAATTAGATGGAAGTTCTTTATTGTCCCAGATGGCCCAAGAACAGGTTTTTCTCACTTTTCTAAAGGGCCGTCATCATGATTCTGCCATGTATTAGATAGGCAGGAAGGCAGGCCGGAAATGAGTGCGCTGAGGATTGAAAGCCAAGTCACCTAAGATCTAGCCTCCTGTATCACGAACCGTCTTAGACTTCTGTGTTCAACACTTTGGCGTCCTTTGTTTCAGCCCTTTCATTCATGAAGGAAGATTTTTAAAAATTGTGCAATGTGCATAATATGAAATGTATCATCTTAATCATTTTTAAGTGTACAGTTCGATAGCATTGTGTTCACATTGTTATGCAACCGTGACCACTATCCATCTCCCCAGCTGAAACTGTTCTCCCATTAAATACCCATTCCCTCTTCTCTCCTTTCAATAGCAACTGGCAATCGTCATCCTACTTTCTGTCTCTTAATTTCACTACTCTAAATACCTCATATAAGTGGAGACATATAGTGTTTGTCCTTTGTGACTAGCTTATTTCATGGCACAATGTCTTCAAGGTTTATCCATGTTGTAGCATCTGTCAGAATTGACTTCCTTTTTAAGGCTGAAGAGTATTTCATTGTATGTATACAGGTATCTCCTTGAAAACAAGGTATCCTTGTTTTCAATTTGTTTATGTAAATACCCAGACATAAAGGAGAATTTTGAAGATGATGTGAAATTTTAGTATCAAGAGCTTTTCTAAATGCTAAGAATGAGAGTAGAATCAATATATTTAATGATGGGACATTTGTAGTAACCTACAGATAAATGAGTAGTTAGTGTGATTCCTCATGAGGTTAGAGTTGATTTTTGCTTGAATTCTCTATGGGAGAGAAGAAGATCCTGCCTGACATTTTTAGGTTGAATTGGCATGTTAATACTAATCTATTTCTTTGTGAAACCCTTTGTGTTTTTGTTTTTTTGCCATATTTAAATCATGGCATTTTAAACACAATTTCACATGTTTATTCTTGTGTTAATATAGGAAGTGCATCATCCCATCTGTGCCTTCTGGGATCTGAACAAAAACAGTAAGTTTTAAAATACTGGTTGTCTTAATATAGATAACAACTGAATTTTAAACATTGTTAGACACCCCCATTTCCTTTAATTCCACCCCAAACCAGAGTGAGTCACAATGTAAGTGTAAATGGCAAATGAGTTACAAAGTTAGTTTAGGTAGCTTGGAAAGTCAGTTCTAATTTTTGTAACTTTTTAGTCATTGCAAGAAGAAATAGGCAGACTTTACTGTGTTCTCTTTCATTTTTTCAATTGAACAGCCTCTTTAACATCAGTTATTTGTAAAATACAGCATACAATTTTATTGCTACTTTTGACGAAAGTAGACGCGCACTTAATCTCATTCTTCTAAGACACATTTGAGGAGACTGTTTGATATGTGTAAGGCAGACAATTTAAAATCCAGCTTCCAGACCTCTAGTTATGAGGGAGGTGAGAAGCTGACTAAAGGAATGTAAATATAGAAATGGTTATAATGGACATGTATTACTTGAAAGAGATGAACAGCCTGCAGCATTAGATTTGACAATCAAGAAAGGAAGGCAAAATTAAGGGATGAATCAATCAGTAGGCATAAGGTGTTGAAATCTCTTTGAAAGGAAGTACAAATAAAGAAGCCTCTTCTGTTTGTCCCCTTGTGAGGATTATTGTGGACAGATTCATTCTGATATCAATGCAGGCTGCTTTGCTGATGAAAACAGCCTGAAAAGGGTGAAAACTTTTTTTGATAGTCCTTGTCACAGCAAGACAGGTATTTTTTGGTGGAGGGGTTTAGTTGCATAATTTTGAGAAGATCTTTACTCATTTGCATAGTTAAAAGTATCACTTTATATCTTAAAATCTTTTTTAAATAAAAGGATTCAATACATTGACAATATGTGTTGCTCATATTCCGTTTTATACCATAAAAGTCAGATAAGGTGGGTTCAAGCCATTTACTGTCAGTTACCACCAGTAATGATTGCTGTGTACATAAATAGCACATTCCAAGAAAGCAAACCTTCTTTGTTATTATGTCTTCACGAAAATGTAGATTAACCCTCAGAAAAAAATCGTTGGTTCATTAGTGTGTAATGTATTCGAAGAGGAGTATTTTTTATATGGAAGTTCATTTTAAAATATGTTAAAAATTAAACTTGAATCAAGCATTTGTGGAACTCTCGAGTTTGAACCCACTGATTAGATCACCTCTAACTGCCCACCCAGAACTAACATTTGACGATTGTAGGAATCCAAATTATTCTAAGCATTGAAAGCTTTCATAATGGTATCCATTTTATAGATAAACTCTATATGGCAGAAGAGACTGAGGCAAATTTCTCTATAGAAGGTCTCATCCATTATAGAGAAGACACTGACCTGTTGTTTTCACACCATTTGTTGATTCCTTCAACAGAAAGTTTTGGAGGATGGAACACGTCAGGATGTGTTGCACACAGAGATTCAGATGCAAGTGAGACGGTCTGTCTGTGTAACCACTTCACACATTTTGGAGTTCTGATGGTAAGGGGGGGATTTCTAAGCTCATTTTGACATGCTATAACTGTAGATGGAATACTCCTTTTTGTATGTATTTTTAGATTATGTATTTTGGGAATTATTTCCTGATTAGTTTTCATCTGTACCATGAATCTTAATTCTTAATAAAGAATCTAATTAGCAAAGATCACATATTAAAAATACGTGAAAGTAATTATAGAAAAGAACTTTCTCCCTTTTTTTATCCTGTAGCATTAACAGTGATGATAAATAATCTCAGAAACATGAAAATCCCCATGAAACTTTTTAATTAAGAGAGAAACAGTATCAAGGAGGTGGACAGGGAGACAAGTGGGGGAAGGAGAGAAAGTTAAAGAAGAAAATACTGGGTATTCCTAACATGGAAGGGAATTGTGAATAGTGTGATCAAAAAAAAATTTTCTTATGTTATCACTCACTCAATGTATTTGAACGTTACTTTGTACCTGGTACTGCACCACGTGATCTCCCTCCTAGAGATTGCAGTTTGTTAGGACAGACTAGTGACTAGGGTTAGAATGGAGACTTCAGAGCTGCAAGAGAGATGATGGTTATGATGTTTCTGTCACTCTTAGGCCTCTGTATCATTCTTTCCTTCCTTCTTCCACGCTCCTGTTTTATCTTATTAGCCAGCTTGTCATACAGTTTTAAACAAAAATTAGATTGCATCATTGTATTTTTCTTATCTCACCAAATTTTAAGATGCACCACACATCCAGCGACTTGTTTGAACTTATCCATAGATTTATACCTTTACCTTTTATCTGGTATACTTGTGATTTTGCAGACACTTTTCTGGTCTTTAAGGTACACTCTGGGTTGTAGCATAGCCTTTATTTCTGTATGGTTTTCATAAAGGGACCAAACCACATTTGTTTTTTAATAGGAGATAGGAGTAATGTAAGCTGAGGCAACAAAGCTTTTCAAATTAGAATCACAGACGTCAGGTTTTGTTTATTCCCGCCTTTAAATCCTGCACTGTTCTTCCTGTGGGGACTGGGAGGAAGCCGTGAGGATCTGTGGGATGTAGTATTTGGCTCATGAATCTAGTCAGCCTATGTAAATGGCCATTGTCATGGCAACCTTGCAAGTTGTAATTTTCCTGACAATCAAGTACATAAATGCTCTGTGGTATAAGAACAAGTCATTTAAAAAGGTGACGAATTATAAAAGATACCTTTTTAACTATCTAAATACAAGTATTTTGCTTTTGCTGCCAAAGCATGAAAATGAACAATTAACTGTTGCATGTTTTCCTTAAGTAATTATAAAAGAAAGTTCCGTTTCCTTCCATGTTCTCTTTCTGCAAAAGTGATAGCAGACATTCTTTCAGAGACCACTTATTTTTCATGATCACTCATTCAGCTATGTAAGCTTTAGCTTAATTCATTTAAATATTTCAACTGTGTGCATGTTGTAAGTCTAATATTAAATAGATAACCGTAACAAAATTTAGTCTTCAGAGATGATTTATATGCAGCCAGAGTTTGCCTGCCCATGACTTCACATGGCCAGTTCCTTCATATATTGTCTGAATTGTATTATGAGTTTGTAATTACGTATTTTTTTTTCTGCTGCCATCTGATCGAATGGTTAATTTTATGTATATGTATATATATGAAGATAAGCATCGTTCATGCTATCTTTCCATTTTCCACCTTGTCTGTTTTTGTAATATTAAAAATTGCTGGTAGAAAATCTTTTCAGAATGTATCCCTTTTGGTGTTGTTCTCTTTTCAGTTTTTCCAGACCAGCAAGATTTTGTTAAGAGTTTTTCTTGACTTAGAAACTCTTTATTCACTTGTATAAGATACTCCCAGAGTCTGCATTGTCCCATGACACATTCACCAATTCACCATATGAGATGCTAAAACAGTGCACCTCATACCTATAATTACATCTTCTGATCTACAAATATTTTCAGAATTTAATGTCTTCCGCTACAGTTCTTTATACTAAAACTGGCTTTCATGAAGATTAGTACATTTTCATATTGGCTATATAATAAAAGTTTTCATATTTTCATTCTCTAAAAGAACAAAACAACATGAAATTGTGTATAAATCTGTATCAATAAACAGCCTTATTTAGTTTCTATTTGAAATTCTGGATTTAATTGTGATTTGCAAGTCATAGGTTTTTCAAGGATTTGTGACACATCACTTGGCAATATCTCAAAACCATGATTCATCTCTCTGGGCTGATGAATCATTGGTTGAGGTAGCCTATCTGTGAGTCAAGTGGCACCGACTCAAACCCCATCCCATGTACCTTGGGTGTCCCGTGTTCTCCCAGTGTTTTAAGGGATTCCTGGGATAAGAAGATAGGGGAAGCCCCCTCAGACTCTGAGCCTTTGCTTCTGCTGAATTCCATCACTTTGTACATTGCTTGATGTCGCAGAGATACTGTACCTGTTCTTCACTGCATCAGTGAAACGTGAGACTAACGCACATTTCTTTCTCTCTCCCTCTCTCTCTCTCTCTCTCTCTCTCACACACACACACACACACACACACACACACACACACACACACAACTTAAGGCCTGTGTGTGAGTAGCAGATTTTATTGGCATTTCGATGAAAATTAAAGACAATTCACATATAGAAGGAAAAATCATAAACATTTTCTCCATAATTTAAAACGTAAAATTTACACTAGATATTCAATACATCCCTTCTCTAAGAACACTCTATTTTTGAACATCTATATAATGGAGGTACCTTTCTCCTCCAACCAGGATTGAGTGATTGGTCTTACCTCAAGATTTATTCCTATCCCAATCCCCCATTTAAGGAGAAAGATTTTCCTACCAAGTCCAGACTTTGTAAGTCTCCCTTAGCACATTGAAATTAATACTTTATATTAATACACTGGAAAGTATTTACTTCTTTCCACTCCACAACAGCTCCGAACAATTTAAATTATATCCTTTCAGTACTATAGGAATAAAAAAGTCTATGACCCCCAAAACTCTTAGTGGCATCTCATTTATGAAAATAAAGACTGTCCCACCTCATACATACCAAGCATTGAAATGACCAGGATTAGGAGCCTCTGCACCACCTGTAGAGCATGGCAGTCACAGCACCAGCACAGCCTCTGGCTGAGCTACTCACTACCTGGCAAGGAACCTAAAGGCTTGAGAGTTTGACCGTATAGACTACCAGGGTCTCCATTTGAACTGGTGCCCCAAGCCCTGCAATTGTTAGGAATAGGCCTGATGGTTTATTATGCAAGGCAACCATCTCCTCTCCAGTTTCTGTTGACGGTCCTGGTGGTTTTGATCTTCAGGTTATACCGGTGTGCAAAAAGCTTGGGAAAGAAGGTAATGATGAAAAACAATGTGTAACCGCTTACAGAAGTAATGCTTCTTTTTTTTCTTTTATTTATTGATTGAAAATAATGTAATAAATGGGAATTTTAATATTGATTTACACTGTTGGTTTTAGTCCCTGAGAGTAAGCTGCTCTAATGTTAACAGTGAACTTTCTGGTGAAACAGAACCATTCTCATGAGAAGAGAGATTCTTACAGCTGCTTCCCATGTTTTATGTAGGACCTTCCAAGAAGTGCCTCACAGTTAGATGCAAGAAACACTAAAGTCCTCACTTTCATCAGCTATATTGGGTGTGGAATATCTGCTATTTTTTCAGCAGCAACTCTCCTGACATATGTTGCTTTTGAGTAAGTATTTTTTTAATCTGCCAAACCCTTTGCTAACTGTTCCAAATGTGAATAAGAAAATTGCCTCGGCTTTGAAAAACATTTATACACTGTAGGGTGGTTCAATGCTAATGTTCATATTTCTCATAAAATATATTATGCAACATGAATTTTCTAGCTATAGAATTTTAATTTATAATTACTGTATTTCTATTTAAAAAATGCATTTGAATCTGTTAGAAATGATTAACATTTGTGTAAGTAAAAATTATATAAGGTGCTTTCTGTGTTGCAAAACATGAAAGCATTTGTTTTATGAAACAATTTTTTTAAGATCCTTAACTCATTAGAAATCAAGAAGGTTCAAATAATTTAAGGAAATTATATTTTAATAAAAATGTCATTCTTATAACTCTAGAATTTTTCCTGGATTAAAAAAAATTCTGTTGAAACCCAACTGGGAATTGTATAAACAATTGAAAATAATTTTGAAGTAAATTAATATTTTTAAAGTCTTTATAACTTGCCAAATACTCATAAATATCCTTAGCCCCTCCTTTTGGCAGAACCACATCAGAAAGGTGGTGCTACCTATCTTATTGCAGGGTTGTGTAAGATATGAATTTATACAGGTCTGTGCTTAAAAGATTGATATACAGTATTAGTTCTGTCATAGATTCCTTTTTTCATTTTTTAGGAAATTGCGAAGGGATTATCCCTCCAAAATCTTGATGAACCTGAGTGCAGCCCTGCTGTTCCTGAATCTCCTCTTCCTCCTAGATGGCTGGATCACCTCCTTCAATGTGGATGGACTTTGCATTGCTGTTGCAGTCCTGTTGCATTTCTTCCTTCTGGCAACCTTTACCTGGATGGGGCTAGAAGCAATTCACATGTACATTGCTCTAGTTAAAGTATTTAACACTTACATTCGCCGATACATTCTAAAATTCTGCATCATTGGCTGGGGTAAGCCTCTTCAATTTTTTTTGGCTTTGTTTTTCCCTCATGAAAATTACCAGACTCTCATAGGAAAAATTCTTATTTAAAAAAAAAAATAGCACCATTAAGAGGAACCTCAAAATTGTGAATGCCATGGACTAGCTATACATAGCCTAAGGAAGGGACATCTTCACAACTTTATTTTTTAAAACTCATCAACAGCACTCACTATATACACGAGTAAAGGAAAAGCCCTCACTCCTGAGTCACCACAAACTTATTTCCTGAGCCCAGAGCCAGCCCACCCAAGTCTGAAGAAGCAGCTGGCAGACAGTGGTGTCTTTCCCATGATGCTTTAAAATACAAAGGCCAGCTCAGACGGCTAGTTACACTCATCCCCAGACACATGCCTATGTCTTGGAAACCAGAGAAAGAATGTTGTTCTTGCGTGTGCAACCAGAATACTTACAGGATTATTGCCTTGAACGTTTTGTAATAACATGAGTCCTCAGTCAGACATAGGTGGTTGAATTAACCTGTCTGAGATCTTCTGTTGTGCTCCTTTGTTTTTGGAAGTTTCATATTGAGTCAGGCATTTTAGAGCTTTCTCACAGGTCTGTTTCAGATGGAAATATAAAAGTGAGAGAGATTTTCAAGACCTTCAAAACCACCTCAGGAGGCAATAAGCACACTCTTTGGAGACCTGGCACGCCTGCCATAGAATTTCCCCACTGAAATATACATGGAAATACTTAATCTCTGGAGAGAGAAGGCTACAAAGACTTTATAACCCCTTTGCTTTTCCTCCACTTTTTCTAAAGAGTTTTCTTTACATAGAAGGAGGCAGAATAGGCTATAATGACCTTGTCTGCCTAAACTCTGCCAGTCTTAATTAATGAAACCACATTCACTAGTGCTAGATTTGATACAAATCAGGTTCTGGTTTTCTAGTGAGTCCCACTAAGCAAACAGAATTTTATTTAAATATCTGTCATTTAAGAGTAGGTTTGGATTGTTGCCAGTTAGAGTTGGACATTGAACCCCAAGGAGGCGATTATGTTGTTAACCAAGTTGCCATTTCTAAGAAGTTTGAATCTGGGATATGGAATGTTGACTTGCTTGCATTTCTCTTCTTTTCATCTCTGTTCTTTACATTTCATTAGCCATCTTATGAAGCAGTTTCAGACGCTTCAAAAGAGTTTGTGTCATGGTGTTTTTCTAACAGGTTTGCCTGCTTTAGTGGTGTCAATTGTTCTAGCGAGCAGAAACAAAAATGAAGTCTATGGAAAAGAAAGTTACGGGAAAGAAAAAGGTGATGAATTGTAAGTAATAAAAACTTTTTGTGATGAGTAGATATCCTTTGTTTCCTGAAATTTAGCATTAGTTAATTTCCATGCCAATAACAGGGCTTTCATTTTAAAAGGTTAATGTTTATTCGCATGACTGCCAAAGTCTCTGCTACACCACAGATTAATTCAGTTGAATGCCCTGAAATGTTTGAGACACTTTTTCGTATTAATATTGTACTCTGTCATATGGAAGAATTGAGAAAATGCCTAAGACTCTGTTTTTTTAGCCTCGGAAGACCCATTCTATTTCAGAAGATTTCATAACACTCTCACCTCCTCAGACTCACCCACATCTTCAGGAGAGTTAAATAGCAGTATCAGACAGAGAGTGAATGATTCAATGCCAATGGGAATGTTATGTCGAAATTTAGAGAATGGAGAGATCAGCAAGTTCTTAAACAATTTTGAAAGTTCTTTTCAGATTGTGAGATCATTGAGATTGAGGTTTTTGTATTGTTCAGTTTGGGCAGTTACTGCTCTCATACTTTATTAATCCACCATGGGTACTCAATTAAATATATGTTGATTGAAAAAATTACTGAATGAATAAAGAGCCTATTTCTGAAATGGGACCCACAATGCCACATATCTGTGCACATTTCATGGATGGATAACATTTACAACAGCTGGACGCAGTGGCTCACCCCTGTAATCCCAGCACTTTAGGAGGCCAACCTGGGTGGATCACCTGAGGTCAGAAGTTCGAGACCAGCCTGGTCAACATGGCAAAATCCCATCTTTACTAAAAATACAAAAATTAACTGGTCATGGTGGTACACGCCTGTAATCCCAGCTACTGCTCGGGAGGCTAAAGCAGGAGAATCGTTTGAATCTGGGAGGCAGAAGTTGCAGTGAACTGAGATCGTGCCATGCACTCCAGCCTGGGCGACAGAGTGAGACTCCATCTTAAAAACAAACAAACCCGCTTACATCACTTATCCAATCTCTGTCCCATTCCTTCACAGTCTTCCCTTCTCATATATTTGTAAAGTGGCACTCGAAAGACCCCACAAGAACTAGGGAAAAATAATGGGGTTAGGTCAGGAATTCCAGAATTTTAGAAGAACTTCTATGTGTAAAAGAAATGTTAGCTCTACGGACAATCTGTATTGTTTCAGGGGCATTTATAACAACATACATTAAAAGTAGAAATCAATAAATAATTTCTAAATGAAAGAATTTAGAAGTACATTCATCAACTCATTCAGAACTTTAAAGTACCGTTTAGTAAACTACTATACCATTAGGAAATTTCATTCGTTGATAATTTACTGTATGCAAGAATCATGTTAGTTTCTAGAATTCAAAGATGTGCAGGACAGCTTTTGCCTTTGTGGAGATTATGTTCCAACGTGGAAGACATGGCCCAGAATAATAACCATTTGTGCTAGAATTTCAAGATGAATTACTAGAATTTCAATATGAGTGTAATTGCTTTAAATCTTTTATCCAATTTTCGAACTGTCTTCAGAATTTCCATAGAATTGATTAGGCACTAGGACATCTGCAAATTGTATTATCTGACAACTTTGCATATCATACAGTTTTAAAATTTCTTTCATCTACTATCCAGTCTATATATTCTAAGTATCAAGTATCTTCTTCTCCATATCACTAGGATGTTTTGTAATCATTGTAAGCTACGTAATTGTGCATGACAAGCATCTGTATATTAATCTCAATTATAATAAGGTCTTGCCTCATCTACAGCAATGATATTAGTAGCAATTATTTTACCACAGTAACAAACTCACAACTAGTTGTGACTTAAGTGAGTAGGAGTTTACTCTGCACATGACAAGAAACACGGTAGTGGCAATCACTGGTATTTATTTTGTGGCTAAAAATGTCAGGGCCAACAACTCTGCAGGTGGCTTGACCACTGTGTCACTGGACAGAAGATGCTGGCTGCAGCTCCATAGCTCACTTGCACATTTGAAGCAGGAAGAAGGAATAAGGGCCTTGCCAGTTGAGTCTACCAGTAATAGCTCTCCCAAAAATCCTTTGGCAGACTTCTACTTTCGTATCACTTTATAAAACGATGTCATACGGCCACTCCTTAAATACAAAGGAGACCAAAAATGAGTTTTTAAATTTCCCCTTCTTAGTGTACAGGCACCCAAGAGAAAAGGAAGTTAGACATGGCTTGGAGCAAGTCAACCAAAGTGTTTTCATATCAACTCAGAATTCAGGAAGCCACCTTGTCTTCTTTGTCTACCTAGATAGTAAGACAATGGCCATCCAAAAACAAATGAACAAAAGACCTATGAAGAGATTGAATAAGAAACTGAGGTCCAAGAAAGTAAAGTGACTTTCTAAAGGCATTTGAGAGGAAAATCTGCAGTAGCCCAAACTAAACTGAGAAAAGTCTTAGGTAAACAGGACATGGTAATACATCTTTTTTCTTTCTCATTTCTTTTTTCTTAAGCTGTTGGATTCAGGATCCAGTCATATTTTATGTGACCTGTGCTGGATATTTTGGAGTCATGTTTTTTCTGAACATTGCCATGTTCATTGTGGTAATGGTGCAGATCTGTGGGAGGAATGGCAAGAGAAGCAACCGGACCCTGAGAGAAGAAGTGTTAAGGAACCTGCGTAGTGTGGTTAGCTTGACCTTTCTGTTGGGCATGACGTGGGGTTTTGCATTCTTTGCCTGGGGCCCCTTAAATATCCCCTTCATGTACCTCTTCTCCATCTTCAATTCATTACAAGGTAAGATAAATTGTACATGAAAAGTCTCTGCTTTCTAATTTTGTCATATTAGCAAGCAGCTTCACTTTTGGACAGATGCCATGTTAAGTTTCTGCGTCACTATTTCAAGCGCTGAATATAGTTCCAGGTGCAGTGTGGTCACTTGTTAAAAGGGTCTTGAATAGATAAATGAGGTAGAATGTTAATTCTGCCTTTTTATCAGTGATATATCCCAAGCACCTAGAACACTGTACCTGGCAGACAGTAGGTACTCCATAAATGCATATTATTTCATGAATGAATATGGAGCAGGGGAAGTATCTAGCTGAGAACTGAACAGGGAGTTTAAAGGGATACACAGACAAGTTACCTTCCTCACAGTTTTGCTGAATGTTGGTGCTCTTTATAGATCCTTGTCCCCTGTAGATTTACCATTGATGGCCAGAAGAATTTTTAGAGTCTATGTAAGAACAGTAGCAGTTCACCTTGATTTTTGGTTCCTTTGATTTCAGAATAAATACCAACACTGTAGTTTAGAAACTTTTATCTTTTTATGAGATATATTGAACTTTTCACAGTTCAACAATTCAACAAACATTTGTCAATGATCTGCTTTGCATAAAAATACTGGGCTTCCTTCAAAGAGCTTGCAGTCATACGTCTTATTCCATAATACATACCATAGTGTACTCTATAATAAATTTAACTTTTAAGCTTAAATGAATATAAATTGTCTTTTTAGATCATTAAATGGCATTCTTTAAGATTTTGTGAATATACCCTGTACTGTTGATGAAACGCCTTAATGTGCAGAAGCACCATGAGGCCAACACTCCAAAAGAAATTAGAATGCTTGGAATGTTTCTGAGTAGAGCAGTGCAAATGGCTTGACTGAAGCTATTGGTCTTGCAGTTGTAGATGTCTGGGGAAGAAATTGCTGAATATATCTGTGCTGGGGTGGAAAGCAGATTTGTATTACTCACCAAATGAGGTGCCAAGGTGGGTACTCCCTGCAGGTGTGTTTTAAGAAAGTCTGTACTTACCTGCAGGGGAGAGTTGGTTACTGCCTATCTCCCATGCTCTTCCACTAGCTTGTGAAGTGCAAAAAGTAATTGTCACATGGTAGGTGCTTAATGATTGGTGAATTAATGGATTGCTAGATGAAGAAAGAGGCTTTGGGGATGGCCTAATCCAATCTGAGATGCCTCTGGTATAAATATGTATTAACTACTTCAGCAAATTTTATTCAGGTTCATTGTCTTATAACAAAGGAAATATGCAGATTCGCTATCTTTAGTCAATAGAATAATAAGCCTCAAGTGCAACTCCAAAAATTGGAAAATGAGTATGTAGCATATAAATACATCTTTATTGGGATCTAGCTCTATAAAGTGAGTATTCCTCTATTTACTCTCTTCTATGATATACAACATAAAAGTGCCTGAATAAATATTGACAAAAGTATCCATTAACATTAGAAATTCCATGGTTTTATATTTCAGGATTGTACATAAAAGGCACATTGATCTGCCAGCCCAACCTTGGTTTTGCTTTTAGAATTTCCTGGCAGTTTCAGTAACCTTCAACAGCTATAGTTGTCTGTTCAGCTCTGTTTCCATTAATGAGAATTGGGATGTTTTATTTTTCCCAGCATGGGTCCCCTGTCAGGAGGGAAAAATGTTGTAAACCATCGTCAACTCAGTGTTCTTCATAAATCATTGACTTTTAAGACTAATTTTAAATCATATAAATGCAGAACAGATTTCAGCACATTTAGTTATATTAAAACACCTCCCAGAAAAAAAATTTAAATTAAAAGGCAGTGATGCAGAGCACATGAGTCTACCAACAATTGCTTGCTGCCCAGGCTTGTGCCAAAACTTCTTAGGATGCTATGGAAATGTACTTAATGGTTTTTATCGTTGAGTCATTTTCAGAACCTTCCAAGAGAGCCTTTGTTGTTAGAAGTATATGCTTTGTTAAAAGAAGCCTGTAGAATTCAGATAGCTTAAAGAAATGATTCAGTGAATGCAAAATGAACTCAGGTAGTAAGGAGGCAAACTACATTTTATCTATTTTTTTCTTTTTGATATTTGTCATTCCAGCAAAAGTCATGATGTGGTCCCTCTGCCTCATGGAATTTATATTCTAGTAGGGGAGACAGGTGAATTAAATATATTGCTCTATAAAAATTACCATGTGACATTGAGAACATTTTACAAAAAACATGATATCTAAGCTGCAATCAGGAGGATCGATAGGAATTAACTAGGTGAAAGATGGGAGTAAGAGTAGGAAGAAGAATATTTGAGATACTGGGCATTTCATATACAAAAAATTTGCTGTAGTTGGTGATTACAATGTATATTCAAGGTATTAAAAGGAAACTAATATATCCTGAGCACACCAAAGGGGCAGGATAGTGACAAAGCAGAGAGGCACAACAGAGAGGCAAGGACTAGACCAGAAGGCTCTGTATTTCAATCTTTACAAACATAATAGGAAGTCTTTGAAAGGTGGAGTGACATGTGGGGTGACATGATTCGATGTGCACTTTGTAAAAGATAAAGCTGGACATAATGTAGTGAATGGATTAGAGTTGCCCAGTAGTGTCTGTAGGCAGAGCAGGTAGGAGGAGACTCTCACAGTGTTTGGGGAAGAGGTGGTCCAGTATTTTAGACTGTGGTGGGGATGGGAGAGCTAGAGAGATGTGCATAGAGCCAAGGGAAATTTAGGAAGCATGCTGCTACAAAATACTCATCATTGATATGCTCATTAAACTCTTACTTTTCTAGAATGATGAGAGTAAGGAGTCTTCTTGTTAATACAATATTATAGTTAATGGATGCCTGTCATTATAATATTTAACAATGGCTAAAGCTTTAGAATGCAGAGCAACATCCTGAAAGCTAAAACTATGCTAAACATATTTTAGTCCTTCTTAGATTTAGCTTGCAGGGGACCACCTTAAAGTCATCAGGATCACCATATAATGTTATGGAGGTGGGATGGGTGGGAGCAAGTGTTTGAGCTGGGTCTGTTGTGGTGTCAGGGCATGTATTAATTCGTTTTCACACTGCTGATAAACACATACCCTTGACTGGACAATTTACAAAAGAAAGAGCTTTAATTGGACTTACAGTTCCACATGGTTGGGGAAGCTTCACAATCATGGCAGGAAACAAGGAGGAGCAAATCGCATCTTATGTAGATGGCAGTAGGCAAAGAGAGAGTTTGTGCAGAAAAACTCCAATTTTTAAACACATTAGATCTTGTGAGACTCATTTACTATCAGAACAGCCCAGGAAAGACTTGCCCCCATAATTCAATCACCTCCCACTGGGTTCCTCCCATGATGCTTGGGAATTGTGGGAGTTACAATTCAAGATGAGATTTTGGTGGGGACACAGCCAAACCATATTATTCCACCTCTGGCCCCTCCCAGATCTCGTGTCCTCACGTTTCAAAACCAATCATGCCTTCCCAACAGTCCACCAAAGTCTTAACTCGTTTCAGCATTAACTCTGAGTCCACGGTCCTATGTCTCATCTGAGACAAGGCAAGTCCCTTCCACCTGTGAGCCTGTAAAATCAAAAGCAAGTTAATTACTTCCTAGATACAATGGGGGTACAGGCATTGAGTAAATACTGCCATTCCAATGGGAGAAATTGGCCAAAAGAAAGGAGCTACAGGTCCACTGCAAGTCCAGAATCCAGCAGGGCAGTCAAATCTTAAGGTTCTAAAACGATCTCCTTCAACTCCATATCTCACATTTGGGTCACACTGATGAAAGAGGTGGGTTCCCATGGTCTTGGGCAGCTCCATCCTCATGGCTTTGCAGGGTATAGCCTCCCTCACAGCTGCTTTCACAAGCTGACATTGAGTGTCTGCAGCTTTTTCACACAGTGCAAGCTGTCAGTGGATCTACCGTTCTGGGATCTGGAAGATGGTGGCCCTCTTCTCACAGCTCCACTAGGTGGCACCCCAGTAGGGACTCTGTGTGGGGCTCTGACCCCACATTTCCCTCTGTACTGCCCTAGCAGAGGTTCTCCATGAGGGCCCCACCCCTGCAGCAAACTTTTGCATGGGCATCCAGGCGTTTCATCTTCTGAAATCTAGGCAGAGGTTCCCAAACCTCAATTCTTGACTTCTGTGCACCCACAGGCTCAACACCACATGGAAGCTGCCAAGGCTCTGAAGCAATAGCCCGAGCTGTACCTTGGACTCTCTTAGTGGCAGCTGGATCAGCTGGGACACAGGGCACCAAGTCCCTAGACTGTACACAGCATGGGGACCCTGAGCCTGGCCCACGAAACCACTTTTTCCTCCTAGGCCTCCAGGCCTGTGATGGGAAGGGCTGCTGCAAAGATCTCTGACATGATCTGGAGACATTTTCACCATTATTTTGATGTTTAACATTTGGCTACTCATTACTTATGCAAATTTCTGCAGCTGGCTTGAATTTCACCTCAGAAAATGGCATTATCTTTTCTATAGCATTGTCAGGCTGCAAATTTTCCACTTATTTTCTCTGTTTCCCTTTTGAAACTGAATAGTTTTAACAGCACTCAGGTCACCTGTTGAATGTTTTGCTACTTAGAAATTTCTTCTGCAAGATACCCTACATCATCTCTCTCAAGTTCAAAGTTCTACAGATCTCTAGGGCAGGAGCAAAATGCCACCAGACTCTTTGCTAAAACATAGCAAGAGTCACCTTTGCCCCAGTTCTCAACCAGTTCGTCATCTCCATCTGAGACCACCTCAGCCTTGACCTTATTTTCCATACCACTATCAACATTTTTGTCAAAGCCATTAAAGTAAGTCTCTAGGAAGTTTCAAACTTTCCGATATTTTCCTGTCTTCTTCTGAGCCCTCCAAACGGTTCCAACCTATGCCTGTTACCTAGTTTCCAAGTTGCTTCCACATTTTTGGGTATCTTTTCAGCAGCACCATACTTCTGGTACCAATTTACTGGATTAGTCTGTTTTCACACTGCTGATAAACATGTACCCAAAACTGGG